GTTAGAGGCTATAGCACACGTGGCTCTCGTTCACGTTTAAGCATTACACCTTCGTTGCCTTTATATATTTTTATTTTTTACACGAATGGTCAGAATAAATATCACTCGTCACCGATTGTTTATTTTTGCCTTGGGGCCGGCAATCAATTATTGGGAATTGGCAGAGGGAGCGCGGATATAAAAAGAAGGGGGAGGTGGGGGGAGGGGAAGGAAAAAAAAACGCCAGCCTGCTCTCGACAAGCCACGTCAATCGTTGCGCATCCGGACCAGGAGTGCCAACGACCTCGATTCAGCTCTGAAAATCTGATGATGAGCTTACCGTGCAACTAATGGCCACACGCGTTTCGTTCAAAGCACGACCAATTGACGGAGTTAAGGGCCGGCTTCTCAATGATACAAACAAGGGAGGCACGTCGTCTGTGGGGCGGAGGCCCAGGGCAAAATCACGCTGCGGGCCCCCCAAGACGCGGGGCCTGGGGCGGTCGCGCCGATTCGCCGTGTATTCTAGACGCGCTTCTGATTGCACCTGTACGAATGACGACCGAGATATTTTTGCTCACGTGCAAAGAGAAAAGACAACAGCTGTAAAGTATTCTTGCAACGATTTAACATTACGCAACTGGTAAGAGGTAGAGAGGCAAATTACTTTCCAGTCAAGAAAATGTAAACGTATACAGCTTGTATATCATACATCATTGCTGGATGATATGCCAAGGTGAAAATCCAGGCTCCCATTCAGAATATTTTATTTTTTTCAGAATCAGACTATTTTATTTATATAATATTTTTTTGATTTAAAGCTTTCGTGACTGCAGTAATTCATATTCTTAGTTTTTTCGGTAAAGTCACGTTGAAGAGAAACAACAAAATAACAAAATATATATAAAACAATAAAAAATTCTCACGACGTTTCGACCATAACTCAAACGGTCATCATCAGGTGTGTCGGTTTGCATAAATTTATTTTGAAAACGGCATATTTATTTATATATATAAAAATAACGTTTGCGTCACGCGCAACGATGGCAGTTTGCCAGGACTAGTCCATCTATTTTTTGAAAAGAGGAGGGGGGAGACGAAATTTGTTTTTATGTATGCTGTCTGAAAGGCACTGTAAGCGTGAACAATCAATCAAGAACTGAAATGATTTATCAAATCTTTCCAATGATTGCTAAGATAGAATCCATCTTCTCGGTTGAAATTGTCTCTGTGTTTGTATATGTGGATAGCCTCATGAACGAATCTCTCATGGAAGCCAGATGGCTTACAAAGAACCTCCATCTTGGAAAAGTCAATGGCATGTGAGCCTACTGAATTAGAACAATGATCTGCTACGGCCGAGGTGTTGGTCCTACCGTGTTTAAGGTCTGCTTTATGTTCACGAATGCGGTCCGAGATATGGCGTTTGGTTTCTCCAATGTAACTACTACCACAGAGGCAACTTAGTTTGTAGACACCAGGGTATTGTATGTCCGGAATCACATCTTTTACAGACGGAACCAGATCACGGATTTTATGTAATGTGTTGAAACGGACCTGGATCTTGTGTTTATTCAAGATTTTGGAGATCTTTTTTGTGATCCCAGCAATGTAGGGTAAAGTGATGGTTTTGAAAGGCTCCTCAAGAGGGTTCTTCTTCATGGTTTGAGTGATAGCTTTGCGGATTGTATAGTCGGAGTAACCATTAGCCCTAAGAGCTTGGTGTACGTGCTTGAGTTCACTGCTTATGTGTTCCTGGTCGGATATGCATTGGGCTCTATGATACAGAGTCTTGATGAGAGAATTCTTCTGTGATGGATGGTGGTGGGAATCCGGTTTCAGATAAGCATCCGTATGGGTAGCTTTCCTGTAGACAGAGTCTACAGAGCCACTCTGTCTACAGGAAAGCTACCCATACGGATGCTTATCTGAAACCGGATTCCCACCACCATCCATCACAGAAGAATTCTCTCATCAAGACTCTGTATCATAGAGCCCAATGCATATCCGACCAGGAACACATAAGCAGTGAACTCAAGCACGTACACCAAGCTCTTAGGGCTAATGGTTACTCCGACTATACAATCCGCAAAGCTATCACTCAAACCATGAAGAAGAACCCTCTTGAGGAGCCTTTCAAAACCATCACTTTACCCTACATTGCTGGGATCACAAAAAAGATCTCCAAAATCTTGAATAAACACAAGATCCAGGTCCGTTTCAACACATTACATAAAATCCGTGATCTGGTTCCGTCTGTAAAAGATGTGATTCCGGACATACAATACCCTGGTGTCTACAAACTAAGTTGCCTCTGTGGTAGTAGTTACATTGGAGAAACCAAACGCCATATCTCGGACCGCATTCGTGAACATAAAGCAGACCTTAAACACGGTAGGACCAACACCTCGGCCGTAGCAGATCATTGTTCTAATTCAGTAGGCTCACATGCCATTGACTTTTCCAAGACGGAGGTTCTTTGTAAGCCATCTGGCTTCCATGAGAGATTCGTTCATGAGGCTATCCACATATACAAACACAGAGACAATTTCAACCGAGAAGATGGATTCTATCTTAGCAATCATTGGAAAGATTTGATAAATCATTTCAGTTCTTGATTGATTGTTCACGCTTACAGTGCCTTTCAGACAGCATACATAAAAACAAATTTCGTCTCCCCCCTCCTCTTTTCAAAAAATAGATGGACTAGTCCTGGCAAACTGCCATCGTTGCGCGTGACGCAAACGTTATTTTTATATATATAAATAAATATGCCGTTTTCAAAATAAATTTATGCAAACCGACACACCTGATGATGACCGTTTGAGTTATGGTCGAAACGTCGTGAGAATTTTTTATTGTTTTATATATATTTTGTTATTTTGTTGTTTCTCTTCAACGTGACTTTACCGAAAAAACTAAGAATATAATATTTTTTTGTTATTAGGGTCGTGTTTCACACTGGTGTTGGTGTTTGAGCCAGTGATTGACATTTCACATTACTATGGCATGGCCGGGAGTTGAAGGATAGACAATTCCTGTTTGCAGATCCCTCACCACCGATGTTAACCGGGGCTGGAATCGAACCTGAGTTGGCAGGTTCACAACGCATCGTCTAAAACAACTTTCATAGATTGACCTGAACAAAAAAAAAACATTCGGTGTTAATCCAGCCGAGGATTAAAGAGACAGCCCTCCCAAGTGCCTTGAAAATGATGTTTGGTAAAAGACCAAATACTTATTTTGAAGACAGAGCGCCCCCACGGCGTTAAATGGTCGAGACCGTGAGCGTAACGTCGTGAATAGGCAAGAGGAGCCTCGATATATAATCAGGCTGGGTGCGACCGTGCGAGAACATAAAAACATCAAATATTGGGGGCCCCACCTGACCGATTGGCGCACCGCCTGAGCCGATAGCGTCCCGACGAGGCCGCTGAGCCACATTGTGCAGGGTGCAGACCACTCTCTGCCCTGCCATGAACGCAGCACCCACATGTCAGCAAAGAGCGGCATCGGCTGGCAACGCTCCTGCTACGCAGCATTCGCTTCGTTTTGCCCAGGAAAACAGTCACCAAGTGTCAAGGACTCTCCTCCCCCCCCTCCCTCCCCGAAGAGGGTCCTGCAACGTCTTGGCAGGTGAGGTGAGGGGGGTGGCGATGATGCGTAATTTGCCAGGAATTGGTCAAATGTGGAACACGGACGCCGACAAACGCAGTGGCCTACTCCTTGCGAATGTCACCACGGGTAGTCGTTAACGTCCACTGTAAAAAGCAGACAGGCGGGGGTAATTAACCAGGGCGGCCGCTGGACCCCGAACCGCGACCCTCTGCAACAAGCGGCGAGCGCGCCGCCACCTCCGCTATGGCCACGCCACCGTTACGGCCTGCTGCATTGAAAATTGACCATCGGCTATGGCATGTCGACTGCTGGATGAAGACCTCTCCAAGCGATGTTATTGTGGGATGTCATCTGCCGAGCACCTGGACACGAACCGATGTAATCGTTCCATCTCCTCGGTGGACGCAATCTCGGACGAGTTCTATCCCGTGGCTGCCACTCCGTTTTTTTTATTATTAACCATTGCCAATCTCCCCTTACGTTGAACATTACAGAATGAGATGATAGGCGCCACGGTGGCGAGATGTTAACTACCTCGCCTGGTATACAGGAGGTCGTGGGTTCGATCTCGACCCTGGCGATGTCTGGATATTTTAAGTTTGTGTGTTCTAGCTCCAACGTGGATTTTTCTCCGGGTCCTCCGGTTTTTCCCCCTCCACATTTAGAATCAACATGCTTTTAGACTATTTGGCCGCTATACATTTCCACACGATAGGCCACTTCGTTCAGCAATGATTTGTGGTCAGGGCGCGTCTGAAAATGAGCGATATAGCTCAGCTGGTAAAATAAAAGTGTTTTCATCATTATTTATAAATGTCCTGTGTTTGCATGCTTGTTATGCAGAGGTAAGCGTCTTATACTACGGTAGATGTTTCGAGGTTGTATTAGTCTCACCTGCACCAGAAGTCACACATACACACATTTCTATAGTCTACAAAGGTTACTTACCTTCGTCGATGGTCCAAAATTGTACAATTCATTCTCGAACGATGTTTTCGTTGTGTAGTTTGGTTTACTGCGATATGAATAATCTTGCCAACAAAATAAGCAATGGGCTCAGAGCACACATAACGTTGCGGTCCTCCATGATGATGATTGTTTTTTTGCACATGATACTAAACGTGTAGTTATAGTCGCATAACAATTACATTCAATTAATACACGTGCGCATGTGTGTTCAATGAGCGGGAGTGTAGCGGTTAGCGCGCTGCGCTAAGAACCCGGCCACAGTTCCTGGGCCTCCTCAAAGTCTACTCAGCCTCAAAACAAGTACCTAGCGCGATATGTAAACATCGCCGCTAGGGAGACAAAGGCAGCCGAGCGTGGTGCTGGTCATCAACTCCCTCGTGTGCCGTGCCGGCCTTCATAGGTGCTCGCTAACAGCACTTGCCCCAACAGTCTGTTACGGCTATACGGGGGATCTTCGTCTTTGTTTAATGACCGAAATCTCCCTGGCGATTGGCAGTATGACTCATAGTGTTCCTAATTCAATGAGAGGCACGTGGTTACGACGGTTAGCTAGATGATTAATTCGAAACGGCATTCTTTCTTTCAAACACAACGTGGTAGCGTCACAAGATTAATAACTGCATCCAATATTTTTCTTGCGTATTGCTCACATTCTCGATCTCGTCAGATCTCGACCGCTCTTCGTATCCGATTGAGTCTGGATAATTATTGATTGGGTAGGGTGGCCACCTTGGGTATAACAGTTGTTGCGTAGGCCGCTGTGTAAGGGTAGCAGAGGGCAGACACAGTACGTTGCTTAAGTGCTGACATTTATTTTTTTAACTCTAAACAGGAATGAGTTAGTGACGAACGATATGTACAGACGCGCCCGCGTGTACACAACATACTGTGTGTAACGTCTGCAGCAGCGCTTCTTAAATTGGGCTGCGAGGTGCCCTTTCTGGGGGTGCGAGACGTGGGCAGATTTTTTTTGGAAGGTAAATCATCGAAACACAAACGTAGCACGGGCACTTAAAAACAAATACTTTGTTTAATAAAACCCCATGTATTTATTAACATTATAAAAAATACTATTGAGAACCAAATGGGTGCAAGGCTGTAGTGAAGGTTTAGAACCACTGGTCTAGAGTGTGGCATTTGCAGATGCATCCTCTTGAAATCCCGTGGAGAAATTCTGGAGGCAATAACATATTTCTACGTAGGGCTTTCACGACCAATATTACGATTCATAATTCGTTTCTTTTGGAGTTTGATGGTCGGGTTTGTACAATGCCAATTAAACTCCAATAATTCACATAGCTAATCAAATCATGTTGTCGCGTCATTGGCAAACGTGCCAGCTGATGTAGTTTTTCAGATGTAAACGCGTGTAAAAAATATTAAACACTTTTTTTAAACTAAAGGAAATGAATATAGTCTACAATATCGTGCATTAATGTTGTATATGAAACATGTTCACATTCTGTATATGTACAATGTGCATATTTTAAAAAGGGGCATCAGTCATGAAAGTAGCTGCCAAGAGTTCAAGCGACTGGATTTAAGATTTACTTTTTGCGTCTTTATAGTTATTATTGGTGTACCACAACAAATTGAGAATATTAAAGAGTAATTATGATTTTAAATAGATTGTACATTTCCAAATGTATTAATCCATATATATTTTGTAAAACCTCGTACATACATGCACGCACGCACGCACGTGGCTTTGGACACCAAGGGAATTCACTCCCGACAGACGAGCTCATACTAATTCGGGTCGTTGAATGATTGAAACCGGCCAAACCTGTCGACGTTTTCAAAATCAACGACCTCGTTCCGAAGCCAAGAAAAAACCCGGACATCGTCTCCCGGTCGGAATTCAAGTCACGAATGCACTGATTGTCTCGCGCGCGAACGTACAACCCGCATGGAGGATATAGTCACCGCGTGATTTGCGTTTGAATATCTCGTGCTGGTATTTTCACGACCCTGGAATGTCTGTGCATGCAGATCCTTTCAGAATATGGCAACTTGCTATCGCATCGTTTGACTCCGCATGTACCATCTCGCACCTCCAATCGGCACGGTTGGCTACGTACGGTGCGAAAGAAGTTCAACATGCATGCATGCGTACGTGTAGGCTACCTGTTGACATGTAAATATAAAGGCGCAGTCCTGAGAAAGGCCGCTCACGCCACTGCTGGCGGCAGGGCCTCCACTAGACGGAGATCTTGAGCTTCCCTCCCATCGGATGTTTCGGCCGACTCTTTTATCTTCGAAGAGATGGAAGTGCCCAACGCTTCACCCCACCGCACGCGACCTGCAGGACGATCGCGGCGCGCGTGTTAGTACTGCCGGCTGGGGTAGGGCGAAAGTCAAAATGATTTCTCACCGCTCAAACGAACAATTGGGGGTGGTGGCTCTTCCGTTTACAACCCCGAGCCATTGGCGAGAAATCCACATTGCTATGGCACACGTGGAAAAAAACACTGGCGCCGAGTCAACCACCCGGGACTAACTTCGAGTGGCTCGCTCCACGTGGACAGAGGCGAGGGGGGTTGTTGCGCGCAAGAAACATCTTCCCCGGATCTTTTAGACGGTCCGAGTCGCGCTCCGCGCGCGTGTCCTGAAAACGCCCCGCGGTTAAAGTGAACGCGAGCCACGTTCTCGCTCGTCACGTGGGCTTCACATGAACGACGCACGTGTCCGCCGGGGCGGCGAGCGCGTCACTCTTCTCTCCCTCGGCGTCGGCGGGCTCGACGGGGTCCTCCTCGCTCGACGAGATGATGAAGACGATGGAGCTGGAGTTGAAGGTGGCCTTCTTCTTGGGTCGCGCGGCCTCGCGTTGCCGCGGGCGGCGCTGCGACTGCGGGCACACGATGCCCACTCGGCTGAGGTTGACCCTCCAGCGCAGCGTGAAGAACATCGTCCGCAGGCACCGGAAGAACTGTGGGGGGGTGGAGGGGTGGAGCAGCGGTTAGCTACGAGAGCCGCAGGAGACCCCAGTTCGATTCCCGCTCACGGCCACCAACACCGGTGACGATTTATCTGAAACGGTCCAGGGCCCTCCGCCTAGGTCGACTCAGTCTCAAATGAGTACCTGGAGCGATGCGTAAATTTTGCAACGAGGGAGACAAAGGCGGCCGGGGTGTGGTGCTGGCCACTAATATTGGCTATGGTAGGGAACTGAAACTGCACGCAAACAGCGAATACACAACAACTGTGCGCGCTATGACACTTTTAATACGTGTGTTTATTTGGGCAAAGAGTGACCGCACAATTTTAATACGTGCATCTATGTGATTGAGCAGTGATGGAGCTACGAAATGTTGAATGCGTGCGTCTATGTGATCCAGCAGTGATTGAGCAGTGATCGAGCAGAGGCAATGTTTTATCCAGCAGATGGGATCTTTTTTTCTATCGGTAACAGAGATTCCTGTCAAACAATTTGTGGATCGAAACAGTCCATTTGGTGGAATTGTGGGCTGCTAGTCCACCTAGCAGCATGACCACAATGTATCAGTCATTCTGTCGCGGGCAAAGAGCGCTTTTAACGAACCAGCGTTCTGCAGCGTCGCTCTAAGCGAAGTACTCGCACTCACGTCGCCGACAGCATCGTCCGTCAATTCTCGTGCCCGTAAGCCCTCGGACCTTCGCCTTCATCCCACCCTGTACATCGCTTTGATGTCACGTCGTTTCGATATCCGTCATCGTCGCAAACAACAACAAACGTTGCCGCTCATGAGCAGGAAGAGGAGCGGGTTGCACACGGCGTTGGACTTGGCGAGCAGGGAGGGCACGATGGAGACGGGGGGTGGGGGGGGGGGACACCAGGTGCTCAAACCCGGAGGCCACGAACAGTGAGGCGACGGCGTAGGGCGACCAGCAGGAAGAGCAGCAGGAAGAGCAGCATCATGAGCAGGCACACGGCGGAGACTTTCCTCTCGGAGCACCGAGCCTTGAGCACCCGAGGTGTCTGCAGGCGATCCAGCTTGCGGAACTGCGCAGTAGGGCACAGCGGGGCGGGTGGGAGGGGGCGGAGGAGGGCATGGAGTTTTGTTTTTTTTGCGCGAACACTGAAATCGGCGTCGCGATGGTGTTTTTGGCTAGGGTTGGTGTCGTTGTTTTAGGCGAGTTCAAGGATAACAAAAGGAGTCTCGACCGCTGGGCATCGAGACCCCTCCCAGTGAGGTGTTCGGCCCGAGAGTGCACGGTCACTCAGAGTCGTTGCGATGTCTTTAACTTGAGTTCAATTCGCGCCTTTGCCCTTATTTCCCTGGCTCTCAAGTGTCGTCCCGAGCGTACAACTTCGCAAAGCCTCTCTGTGCACAATTCAGCCTTCGGTTCGATGTGCCTTCTCTCTCTGTGAAATGTTTCCAATCAACAAATCTTCGTTTGCGACAACCGCCGATCGTCTAATCGATACTTCGTGCCCCTGTCCAAGCGCACATATCAGGATTATTAGAGGCTAAAACACAAACATGGGATCAGTTCCAGAGATTGCAAACCCCCCACCCTCCTGCATCATGTAGTCTTTTTGGGTTTGATCGCGTAATTGTGAAATGTGTCGTAAATGCACTTCAACCCGACACAGGCAATGAGTACGTTTTGCCACGTGGAATAAAACGCGCCATTGAGTCGCTACTTCAGCACCACACCGGTTGGGTGTTCGACAGCAAAACCCACAATATTAACAATTTGAGTACGCCTCATGCAGAGCTGGTTGTAATCACCAGCGAAACGTCGTACCCAAATGGTAAATGTTCATGTAGCTTTGCTCTCTAACACACACACGACCGGTGTGTAGCAACTAATTGGCACGTTCTGTGCCAATTAGGTTTGTTAATCAGACAAACCTTGCTAATTGCCTTTATCAGGTGGTGGTGGGCTTGCGATACATTTCACATTTATGCGATTTAACCCAACAACAACAAAATCACAATATTCGTCTTAGGAGCCGTCCATTAATGACGTCACGCGATTTTGGACGATTTTTGACCCCCCACCCCCCTAGTCACACGGCGTCACAAAAAGTCAGACCCCCCCCTCAAATATGACGTCACAAAGCTCTGCCCCCCCCCCCCAAATAAAACAAGTGGGATGGGGGGGGCATCACAATCCGAGGCCTCGGGCTGTAACCCCTCAAGAAACAAAACCGTCGAACAAAGTGTGTCACGGCCACGTGCGCTGTCAGGTGCGCTTCTGCGACCGTCTGGAACGCTCTTCCTTCCAATATTTGAAAGCCACTGTGGAGCTCCGGCACTTTTAAATCATCTCGATCGAAAAATCCATGCCATCAGAACTGCTTTTTTGTGTTTACTTTCATTTGACCTTCCCCGGCGCGGCTGGCTACGTACGGCGCGAAAGAAGTTCAACACACAACATGCATTCGTACAAGGAACTGCGTTATAGCAGCGCTGGGGGGGGGGGGGTAGGGGGGCAAAGTACTGTTGGCAAACCACCATGAAGGTCAGGGTAGGGCACCGAAGTGGGCAGCCTCTCCCCCCACCTCCCGTTGTTCTCCCCAACGCTGATGTTGACATTACACAACAGGCGTTGTATGTACTCTACGCGTGTTGAACTTCTTTCGCACCGTAACGTAGCCAACCGTGCAAATCGGCGGTGCGGGGGAATGACGAACGCAACCGAACGCACAAAAGCGGTTCTAAAGAAACGAGTTTTCAATGTAGACGACTTAAAAGTGCATAGCACTCAGTGGCTGCCCTGGTATCGGAAGGAAGGGCAGCAGTGAGGACGCTTCAACTGTGACGTACGATGCACGATGACGCTCATGTCAACAGCAACCTCACGGCAGCGGCGGCGGCTGACTTTGAAGACATGCGCGGTGAATGTCACACCTAACAAAGTGTTGGCGAATCCGTGCCAGATGCAGGCGAGTGGGTCCCCAATTCCAGCCGTTGCCCCACGCAGGCCCCCAGCGAGAGGCCACTGCCGGCTAATGACACCAGGAGGTCGCTCAGGCTCATGTTGGCCACCAGGAGGTTGGCGGGCGTCCGGAGCCTCTGTAGGGCGACGGCGTTGGGAGGGGAAGGGATGGGATGAGACGCGCACCACGGGACGCACGGGACACCGCACCGACGCATCGAAGGCGAAGTTAAATGTACGTGCTCAGAAGTTATTTCGCAGCGTACGTAGCCAACCGTGCTAATCGGAGGTTCGGAGCCTTCTGCAAGGTTGGTTTAGCCTCAAATGAGTACCTGGTGTGGAGTGTAAAACATCGCCACTAGGGAGACAAAGGTGGCCGGGCATGGTGCGGGTCCACTCATCCCCTTGTGTGCCGTGCTGGCCTTCACTATAGGTGTTACTCCCTTTGTATGTTCAACTTGTATGCTGAAACTTATTTCGCACCGTACGTAGCCAAAACGTGCTAATAATGAAAATAATGATCGGCAATGACACGGGCGGTGTTCAGACACCTTTTATCGCAAGGCATCAAAAAGTCTGCATTAACCACACATAATATGCTTGTGGTAAAACGTACACACACACACAAACAGTGCCGGATTAAGCTAGTGCGGGGCCTGTAGCATATGTTATAAATTGGCCCTAAAAAAAACACGAATGTTAAAACAAATGAAATGTTTTACTTGCCTAGTAGAGTAATCGTATTATTTCATTTGCTATACAGCCAGATAATACGACAAACCTCTAACCTTAAACACCCGGTCGTTCATAAATGTTGAAGGCAGCATAGTACTTTAGTAATAGAGCAAGTGCAGAATCACTGAACCGGAATTGATAGCTTGAAAGCATTTAACGCGGGGCCCTTGAAAGTGCGGGGCCCGTGGCATTCGTAGCTACTTTTGCTCCTCGGGTAATCCGGCACACGCACACAAACCGTGCACTGATAACATACGCGTCCGTCTTTGAAACCGATCGGCGTCTGGCTTTGCTTTTTTACTGCTCGCCCTTTGACGTCGTTCCGTGGCCCGGCACTGGCGGTGGGGGACGAGGCCACACAGGGGAGGCCGGCCCTCGTGGTCTCCCGTGTGCACCAGCGGTGGGACAACGGCAGGCCTTGAAGGGCGCGATCCATCATCGTTCTCAATAAAGCGGTCTCCTTCGCTCGTAAATTGGATTATATGAATGCCCCCCCCACCCCCGCCCCGCCTGCCCCTCCTCTGTTTAATTGGGCGACATTGATTCATGGGGACTGCGCTCGACTTGCAAGGCTTAGGCGGAGTAGGGGGGGGGGGGTGTAGGGGGGGGTTGTAGGGGGGGGGGCTTTCACCTCCCTGATGTAGGTCAGAGCAAAACGTGCGTTTCCTAAAGCACGTACGCAGCATTAATCCCCCCCCAGTTACGTCTGCCCCGAGTTTACGTCGTTTCGCAAATACGTCGTCACTCTATTAATTCACTACAGTTGTGTTTTTGGTTTGTTATGAGTGAAGCTGATAGGTATAAATCTCTATATGCATGCATTCGTGTAATCATTTGTTCATGACATTCAAGTGGTAATAACACGGACGTGGAATAAATATCGACTGATTAGCCTCTCATCACACTTACGTATACGGTAGATCCCCTCTTAACGACGGCAATTGGTTCCATGAGGCCGCACGCTCAGTGATTTTGTCGTTATGTGAGTATATGAGACACGTTATAGGCTTAATTCGTTCCGATAGCAACGAAAGTTACCCTTTATCACCCCAAAAACGTACTTCATATTTAAACAATGGATATGAATACATAAATATAGTAGCAACATTATAAACACATTAAAAGAAACATGGTTAACCAATGTATCCGTCGTTAACAGGGGAATGGTCGGTAAGCGAACACATTTGTCTCTATTGAGGCACTACACTACTATACACTACAGATTTGTCTCTATTGAGGCACTACACTACTATACACTACACTATACACTACACATTGGGCTCTATTGAGGCACTACACTACTATACACTACACTATACACTACACATTGGGCTCTATTGAGGCACTACACTACTATACACTACACTACACATTGGGCTCTATCGAGGCACTACACTACTATACACTAAACATTTGTCTCTATTGAGGCACTACACTACTATACACTACACTATACACTACACGTCTCTATTGAGGCACTACACTATACACTGGGCTCTATTGAGGCACTACACCACTATACACTACACATTGGGCTCTATTGAGGCCCGTCGTTAAGCTATTAGTCGTTAACAGGGGTGGCCGTTAAGAGGGGGTTCTACTCTATACAGAATTGTTTAAAATTAAAAACTAAAATTGGCACAACACATAAAAAATGTCGAGGGAAACCAATTACATGAGCAAGTTGGGTTTAGGAAAGGTTGATACACCATCGACCACGTACGAAATCTGGAAAAATACAAATTGATAGAAATCATCATTACTCGCTGCCTTTTGCTAACTATGAAACGCTATTTGAATCTGCAGAGATGATTGCAGGTATTCCATAAAAAAAGTTTTAAAACCGTACACATTTTCTTGGTTCTTTCGGTAAAGTCACGTAAAGGGAAATCATAAAATAATAAAAATAAAACATTATAAAATTCTCACGACGTTTCGGCCACAACACAAGTAGCTTTCCTCAGGTGAAGAAACAGAACTGTCGGAAAGACAGCGCTTCAATGAACACTGCTAAGCTTGGCAGCGTCTCTTAAGCTGGGTGGGAGGAGCAGAGCGCCTTGACAAAGGAGTTTACATATCAACAGAAGAATTTAGCATTGAAGTAGCTGTGTTAATGTGATAGATTAGCAGGATGTTAAAGTCAGAAATTAGCATGTAACTGGGAGATTAGCATGATGCTAGTGTGAGGGATTAGCATGTAACTGGTCACGGAAGTAGCTAGGTTAAAGTCAGTTTACATATCAACAGAGGCATTTAGTATATTGACGCTAAATAACTGCAACTACTGTACACATTTACAATTAAAACGGCTAGACACTTGGCCTGCGTAAAACATCAACATGCTTATCAGCAGCGGGCTCTGAAAGACGACACGCTTGCTTCGTCAGTCCGTCACACGAGCTTCCCACGAACTGATCGAGTGACATTCCATCCGACCGATCCACCAACCCGCTTGCTTCCAGTGTTGGATTTACGAGCACCCACCCACGCACGTTCACGATCCATCGATTGTACAGACACCCGAACATAGCGGGAAAAAACATGTCACCGTGCCTTGAACTTTAAGAAGAGCGTTAGCACAAGCGCTTTTTCAGAAGACGCCCAGCAGCGCTATAGTCGCCGTCGCGAAAGTGAGAGCGGCGTACGCCTCCGGGCTGAACGGGCCCGCCTTGTCCAGAGGGCCCTCCACCCCCGCAGGTCCGGGCAGCATCGACGGAGTCGCGTTCACAAAGTGTCCCCTCGTCGCAACCATCACGGACGGCATCGTAGCCGGGTGTTCGAGGCGGGTGGGAGGGGTAGGCACGAGTCGTCTAAGCTATGTACCGACGGGGAAGCGGATGACCCGAGAGGCCAGGCGATGCGAAGATTCAATAGCCAGTTGCCCAAACCAATACAATTCCTACGGCCGTGCGCGTGTGTGTATTTACAAGTGAGCGTTTCTACTCTCCGGCAATGGAAAGTTGATTTAGACACTTGCGGTAGAATGATACCATAGAGCTAAAACAGAATCAATTGATAAGGTTGACAGACCCGCGCCGCCCCTGCCGAGTAAAAGTTGACGTCTTCAAGTCAAGGAATGTTTTGTCAGGAGAAACGCACGCTCGCAACTACTGCCTTAATAAGGCGAAGAGGCACGTAGGCGAGATGTGGCGGCCCGGATTGTCGCATCAGATCCTTCTAGCGGCAACGCAATGTTGTGAGCGGCACCAATCCAGTGACGATAGAGGTGGGGATTAGGGCGCACGCTTGGGAAATAAAATCATATTAACGAGGGCATAAATCCTATTGGAAACCTAATAATAGATGTGTGTGGGGGGGGGGGGGGGGTTAGTGTGTGTACGTCTTGATGTAATTCGGGTGCAAAAATAGGGGTTTCAGACAGTTCTGTAACACGCGATTTTACATCAAATGTTTTATTTTCCTACGAGGCCCAACTATCCAAAGAGTGGAGGTAGAAGGCGCGTGAAATCACATTCGTACCCCCTAACACTTGCAGAAATACGTGTTGGGGTTTCTAGACCAGGAGATTCGACATATCCGAGATACAAAACCAGCAACAAACTTTAGTAATCTGCAAAAAAGACAAATGACAGCGGTCTTGTCTGCGTCTACCGCATTAACTAGTCACACCAACCCATATGGCCACTACCAACGCATTAGCTACATGCTCTTTCATTACTTCAGAGTACAAACAGAAGCATCAGCATTTCCTGCAAAGTATGCACTTGCTTTTAAAAAGGAAAATGGAGCGACTTACAGGAATGTGGAATTTCCACCACTCACTCAGGACAGCCAAACGAGCACTGCCCACATCACTCGATTAAAAACAGGGAGACAACTTAAAACATTTAACAAACTTATTTTGAAATTTAAAATGCAATTGTTATAAGTTGTTATAAGTGTCCAGGTTACAAGGTGTGAAACGAATCGCCGAAGGGCCACCCACGTTGGCACTCGTGCGATTCACGTCCAACCAAAAATACGCACACGAGTCACCACCCAGTCTGGGGATTTCGAGGCCCACAATATACGGGTGAGGAAACAGATGGGACTCAAGTGCCGTCTGCCACAGCTTAGTGAATCAAGGCGACACAATGCACGATTTAGGTTTTCCTCCTGTGCCCTACATTCAGATGCACGGAAATAAAAAAAAGTGAAATGCACAACTGACCGAAAAGTAAAACCCCGTTTCTGAACGCCTTCCTCAAAACAAGTGTGGAACAGCACTCGCAATTTGCAGCTTTGACAAAGTGGAGGAAATTCAATTTGTAAAGCAACAGCAAATATATCTCACCGTTAACCTGTACACTGCTTTCGGACCTAAAGTTAACGAATCCACAAAAAAATTGCAGACTTTCACATCAGACACTTCAACTTTCGACATTTTGGTCGCAAGTCAGGAACCGTAACCACATTGATAGGACGCCTAAAAGACCGAAGCAAGCAAATGCAGTCACACTCCTGATATTCTTCAGTTCTTGCACGTTTCTCTTCACGATGGTGGTGTTTGGTAGTTATAGCCGGGTACATGTTCACACTGTAAATATTTTAAGGTCGTTTTTCAATGTTGAACTTTTCCAAAGTAAACCGATGGGCCCATTGGTCACCAGGACATATGATAACAGTCTTGGTTAATTCTAACACTGCAGGGTCACGTGATTATGCTTGTACTATACGTTTCCACCTCTTGCCAAAAGCCAATTCTAAACCGACAGTAATGCATTTACAGTGAGCTACATGAATCCCAGTGTGGCATTTAGACAAAGAACAGAAAGAACGAGGCAACGGATGCTTTGTAATTTATACATATACTTAAAAAGTATGAAACATGTCAGCATTTGAGTGATCTTTCCATAAACATCAAAAAGTTCGTTTAACATAATTTATAGATCGCCATCACTCAACACGCTCGAGAAAAAACCAGGTGGCAGAATGATTTGGATGGCGGGGGGGGGGGCGTGCAAGGATTGAGCGAGCTATAAAGGTGCTTCGGGATCACGAATAGGAAGGGGAGGGGATGGGAATGAGTGGAGGGGGTGAGGGAAGGGAATAGAACTGGCCATAGAGAAGAGTACGACGTCTTAAAGAGGGGAACAGGAGGCCGAGGGGGGGACTCGTTACTTATAAAGTTGATTGTAGGAAGGGTGGAAAGATGACCAAAAACATGATTGGATACAAGGAGACGGTAAACTAGTAGAGGGGTGGGTGCAAGGAAGATGAGCCAAGATTAGGTGGGGAGAGGATTTTAAGAGCTCTAAAGGTTGGCTGTCAAGTATTTGAGAAAGGTGAATGGAAACCAGTGGAAAGGCAGAGAATTATAGGGGGAGATTGAAAATAATTTGTGGAGAAGCATGTTTTTTTTATTTGTTGGGAGGGAAGCGAGGGTAGAGGCAGGGAGGCACCATGAAGAAAATTGCAGGATTCCAGATGGGTAAAGATCAGAGGACGTATATAGAACTTATTTCGCACCGTACGTAGCCAACCGTGCTTATATCGGAGCCAACCGTACTAATCGAACGAGCCAGGAGAGTTTGGCGGCGTTTACGGACGTCGAATTGGTGAAAGCGGCAGAAGCTAGTAGCGGCGGAAGTGTGGGGTGTAAAAGCGAGGGAAGAGTAAAAGGTGACACCAAGGCTGATGGCAGAGGACACAGGAGGGAGAGAGAAGGGAAGGATATGGTGGGGACAGAAGAGGAGCAGAGACGAGTATTGATGGAGGAAGCTGTGCAAGTCAGAGGGGAGTCCTGGTTGGTCAAAGTCCTGGTTGTTGATGGATGCAATGATTCGGCATAACGAAACACTAAAAGGTTAAAGAAATGAAGCTGACAATATAACTAAAACCTAATTATGCATTTTATTTTCTTGTCTAGTTCAGCAATCTGACAAAACATTACATCAATAAAAAAAGTGTTTCAATGTCTGCATATCAGCTTAAACACAAAGCACATTTTAAATCACTGTTCAACAGTCACCATAAACAGAAAGCAATGATTAACGGTGGGCTGCGGGCTCCTTTAACGCTCCTTGGCGTGGTCAGCGTTGTGCTGCGATGTAGAAAAACACAGCTTCAGTGTGTACGGGAACTGTCCAGCTGCACCACACACGCAAAAAAAAACACACGTTAGAGAAACGATGTGCCAATGGGTCACCACATGGCAGCACGGCACATCCTCGCTTAACGCGTGTTCACACGCACACAACGCGTTTATGCTATGCGGTTCTTCCACTCGGGAATACTTTTTGCTGAACGCGCACCGTTATAAAACGCAGAACGCGCGTCCGAACGGTGCAGTGATACGGTACGAGGAATGATAGGGTACGCCGCTCAGTCGTTTGTACCCAAAACCTCACTGCGTGTGCGCACACCACACCGTATCTCGCCAATCTTTATCGTTGCGATACTTCTGGGGAAATGGTGCACTTAATGTGGAACTTTCAGGGAAGACACTCATCGCTCGAAACGAGGACTCGGGGGTTTTTCCCCCAACTTCCGAGTCCTTGAAGCCCACTGTTGGTTATGACGGAGCGCCCGCAATAACAAACCTTTCCAAGAAGTCATGGACGTGCAACAATCACAATAAAATTGGTAAACATGTCTCAACATGATCGTACATCTCCAGTTCTAATTAAACAGGATCTTAATCTGGAGTAATTTAAATTATTTTTTCAACAAGACAGGGCATACACGGTGAGCACCATGTGTGACATACACACACATGGTATATCAATCAGGACTTACTGGGGTTCTTCATCTGATAGTGGTTGATGAGAGCCAGGGCCTCCATTGCATCATTCTTATCATCCCACTCAAGCAGGCCAGATGCACTCTTATCACCTGAAAAAGTGAAGCACTTTGCTGTCACAATGCTTCAAATGTTCACATATTAACCAACGTCAAGAGTAGTTATATAGTAAGCAATACTGTATATGCAACTTTTCCAGTACATAATTATGTTAGTAACTCGGTAATTTAAAAAAAACAGCCAGAGGTAATCTTAAACTTACCCGCAGAGGTTAAAAAGACTGTTCCACGTTCATATTGCTCCACCGCATGACCAATGTTAAATTCTTACAAAACGGTACTCCATCGACCTTAAACCAACGATGGACGTCCAAGACCACCCAACCAGAGTTTCGACACCGCCATCGTGTTAAAACACACATTTATTACATAGGATAAGAACTACTGCATTGTTACTTACTCTTTCCAGCAAACATCTTAAAAGACATGGGCCTCTTCACTTCAAATTCATCACACATCTGTTAAATAAAAACAATAAAGACATGGTTAAAAGAATCAACTACAACACAACTCCAAATCCTTCACGACAAACCACAATTCCAATTATCAGATGGTTAAGCACTCATAAAAAAATAATACATTCCACACACCTAAACATATAGCTAAGCATTGGGTTGGGTGGAGGAGTGGCGATGCGGTGGTTGCAGCGATTTGGGAACAGAGCAACTTGAGTTCGACTCTCAGCCTCCATAAGCATACAAACCCCACGACTGGAAGTATGGGGAGGGCCTTCATCTGTGTTTGATATTAAATACCATAAAAATATAACCAAAAAATGTGACATGTAGGCAAAAGCAATGTTCATTAAACCAGGAAAAGCCTTTACAACATATCAGGAATGCCCCACTATACCGCGACTCGCAACATTAATTTAAAAATATCCGTGGCCTACACATTTGAAACATCCCGCAAAGTCATGTCTGTCGCTGCAAACATCAAAGCCACAAGCAAAGAGGAACATTTGAGCTGGCAAGTGTTTCTAATTTTACTTCAGTCACTTACGTCACTGCAAGGGGCTCCCCCAGAAGTAACTGCAATATCTACCAACGGGTGGGCTCAACGCAGAAGGTCCTACAGTAAAGCCATGGATTGCGAGCAGAATTCGTTCCGGAAACGTGTTTGTAATCCAAAGCACTCGTATATCAGTTGTGATCACGTGACACTTGGCAGACAAAGCGTATACGTACGACTACTCGTATTGCAAGACCTCGCTCGTTTATCAAATTAATATTTATTAAAAAAATTTTGCTCGTCTTGCAAAACACTCGCAGACCAAGTTACTCGCAATCCAAGGTTTTACCGTATTTCGCCATCAGTAAATAAAAAGTTTCCCCGCACCCCACAAATCCTCGTTAAAATGAAGCAATCCTCTCTGCCTTGTAGAAAGAGAATGAAAGCTCATTTCTATAAAACTGCTTTGTGTTTAGCTTGTCCTTCCCACGCACCTCCGGTTAGCACGCTTGGCTACGCACGGTGCGAAAGAACTTCAACATACACATGCATACATTGAGAGGCCAGACACAACAACAGGAGCCCCCCACAACGCACCTCGTTGAAACGCTCCTCGCTGACGTCGGGCGCGGCGTTGAAGAAGTGCAGGATGTTGGACGGCAGCTGGATGCGGTTCTTGGCCGCCTTCTCGGGGTTGCTGAAGCGGTTGTTGCGTGACGCCGTGTAGTCCTTGAAGCTGCACGTGCCGTCAGACAGGTCGTACGACTGGCTGGGCATGATGGCCTGCTGCTTGGACACGCTGCCAGAAGCACCCAAAACAACACATGCAGATGTTGGAAGACCAAGCGTGTCAAGATCTGCAGAATACCACCAACGAGGTAAGTGGATAACCATGAGTGCGGTCCCCGTCCCATCGGGTGATCCACAACACTCCACCCCTCCTCCAGGTGGTCCGTGGGGCCTCTGATGCAAATGCAGGTTTATCAGGAAATAATGTCTATGCTTTGTTTCAGACATTAATATTTTACTCATATTTAATGAAAAAATGTAGTTAGGTAAACTACCCTGATTAAACTATCCTAAACCCTCGGATACAAATGACCCCCACCTAATAAAACCTTTTTTTATTGTTTCAATAACATGAATAATTTTGCATTACAAGTATTTATGCATGTTGAACTTCTCTCGTACCATACGTTGCCAACCTTTGCTCATAGGAGGTGCGGAGGACAAGTGAATGCATTGTCACCGGAGGTGGGACACTGAATGGTCCGCAGAATTGTCTGCATCAGCCGAGTAGTCCGCGGACCAAAACAGTTTGAGAAACACTGAACTAGGATGGCTATGGTATGTCTTACCTACACCGGCAGCTTAACCACAAAACACTGGCACACTTACCAAAGGTTTATCTTCTTCTGGAAGATGGAGGCCTGGTTAAGGTGGTGAATGGCTCTGTCCACAGCAAATGGGTCACTCATCTCCACCATCACCGCGCCGGGCTTGCTCTTCATGAACTTAATCTGAGCACGCGTGCATGGCACAAGACGAGAGTCAATTAGCTCGAAAAACACGAGCGCACAAACAAACCTAGCACGATTGATGGTAATTAAAAAATCACACGACCACAGGTCAAAACATCAATGCCTTGGAACACGAAACTACAATGTTTTAATTGTTCATCAACAAATGAAAAAGTGAAACATTAATGATAATAGGTTTTTCCCCTTTTTTATGGCAACAAAACACGTGTAAAGATGTTCAAACACCAAACTGAAACCTTTTACAAGGAATCATGTCTGCATTAACCACAACATGTGGTCAGAATGCAAACCAAAAAAAACTTTAGACCAATCAGTTTCAAAGACAATGCATATATTATCAGAGTGTTTTTGGTTTGCATTCTGACCACAAGTGTTGTGGTGTATGCAGAGATGATTCCTTGTAAAAGGTTTCAGTTTGGTGTTTTAACATCTCAACGCCTGTTTTGTTGCCAGAAAAAAGGGGCAAAACCTATTATCATATTTTGGCACTGGTAAAGGAGGTCCCATGATAACATGAATGATGAATGTAATAATATTTCATTTACTATTATTGCGAACGGGGAAATCACCACGTGTTATGAATGCTATGCAATGGCCAAGAAACAGACTCCTCTCGCAAGCAAGCAATCCAACAACAACCAGGCATAACCGGACATGTCGGTTAGGGAAAGGTCATGCAAAACAAGTTCTACTCGGAGGTAACCTCAAGGATTTTCACTTGCACCATCAATACCCTCTCGGGCTAATTCTAAGCGCAAAAAAATATAATACAATGCAAACGATCGAGTGAGTGACAAATTGGCGCAAATGATGCAATGGTTGACATTTTACTTCTTAAAAGGATAATGCCAATGTTTTTACTGCACCCAACCCAGCTGCAAAATTACTTGTTGAATGTCAAAGCAAACAATCGAATGCTTGTAGTGCACTTGTCAACATCAGAACCAAATTGGACTGTTCATTGCCAATTATAGCTTTGATTCTTGTACTCCACACGAGAAGAATTTAGTATAGGTCATGAGAGGTTTGAGCAGATATTAGACTGGAACATTCAACTTTTAAAATACTTTGCTAGAGGTGAACATTGTACCCAACGCATGCCCAAACCACATTCATCATGAACACCACCACAGTAAAAGGCAACTTTAATTACAAACTTGGCTGTTTATATATATGCTTATGCATCAATCCAAAGGATTCACTTGTTTTTTATACTAACCAGATTTTTTTTACTATGTAATAAAGTGGATTATCTTGAAGCACCCATATTCATCTACAAAAACAAGGTGTTTACACGGATTGTAAAACGCATTGCTTCACAACACTTTGTCCAATGCGAAACTTGACAAACATTTAAAAGGATCTCAATCAAAAACTACAAATCTTATATAAAAGCTGATTTGACAAACCTAAAAAAGGTAACAGATATCATCCGTTACAAGCACACAACCCTAGAGAATTAACACGCAAATATTTCCAAATGACCCAAGTTTGCCGAACGGAGAGAGACACAATGTAAAAGACGGCCGCCCATTCACCTTCTCCACGTTGCCGTAGAGGCAGAGGATGTTGAAGACTTTGTCGCAGTTGATGCGTTCCGGGTCAAACCCGTACACCATGAGCACCTTGCTGGTGGCCTGAGCCGACTGCTGGTGGTGCATGGGGGGAGGGCCTACACGGCCCATGCGGTTGGCGCCCATCCGTGCCGGGGCCCCCATTTCCTCCTGGCCGTAGCCCTGGTAGCCCTGGTAGGCACCACCACCACCTCCGCCGCCACCAACACCACCACCACCCTGATGCTGCCCTGAGTAGTCTGCAATGGACACAAATACAGGCCATATTAATTAGAGATCTACCCCCCCCCCCAACAACCGCCTTAGCCTTATTGACCCTTTGGTGATCAGTAATCCAAGGTGTCCATTCTCAATTGGACATGACACAAAGGGTGTAATCAGTTTTATGCCCAGCTACAATTTTAGCCCCAGTGCCGATGTACATCCGTTGACTTGGTATACAACATTGTGCATGTACTACACTTGTCATTCACCCTCAGATGATCCAAGTGCATGGGAGGTGTAACAATCTGCAAAACAATCATTTGTGCCAAACGACTTCAAGTAGGAGATACATCAATAGCAGGAAAAGATTAAAACTCACCATATCCAGTCCCAGGAGGGTATTCCTCAGTTTGGTATCCTTGATCTGAAAAAAATAAATTCAGTCAGTAAAAAGATCAACACTTGGTTTAATTTGTAAACGTGGAGCCCAAGGGCTCTAATAAAGACTCCATAAAAAAACTGTCAGGCAAATGGCAAAGCAAAACATTCATGGTAGTATAGGAGGGCGAGATGCCAAGACATCAAACGTGCAACAAAATTTCTCCGTACTGTATTCTGCATAATCTCCGTAAGCGTTGTTGGGATGGTCTCCGAGGAGCGCTGGCGTTCTCTGCCGTTTGTCATCTACGTCGAGAAACACACGTGGCGTTACACAAGGCCACCTGGGTCAAACTGTACCGGTGCAGATGATTTAACTTGCAAACGAAACCCATATAATGTTGTTCATGCACAGATGTTCTTTTGCTCAACAAAAATTGTAATTAACTTTTTTTTTTTTAGAAATACCGATTAGAAAACAGATAGTGCAAACAGAGAGGGGGGAAGCATCTTGCGCAAAGGTCAGAAATACGACGGTTTACACTGCGCATGTAACGGGTGGCAGTGTGCGTTTTAAAAGAGACGCGACAAAATTGGTCATCTTTTATTGGTATACATGATATATGAAGGTGTACAGTGGCGATTGCATACAGGTCCGCTTTTAAGTAGCGCTCTATGGATAAAGGGGGTTTTCCCATATCTGGTGGTGGAATGCGTATGCACTACTTACGCAGGGATTGTGCATGACCATCCACAAATGGAATATCTGCGACAGTGCCTTACCCAGCTAGGCCTCAACAGCAAGATAATGTGGCTGAAAGGGCGGTCCCCCAGCACAAACAGATTGGCGGTAGCCCATTCTCTCCTGCGTCACACCAGCAACACTTATTATACAGACCCTGCTCGGCAACCACCCTAAAAAACTAGCTATCAAAATACTATTTTCAGAAATAAGACACTGCACAACAAAAAAAGGATCTGCAGAATGGCTGCCTTGGCAGTAAAAGATGAACAACTGGATGCACTAGTACCAAATCATGTTGCTAAACAATACCCAATGCAATTCTACAGTTAGGTATCAAGCCACATTTTAACTGTACATGTAAAAGAAATAAAATTTAAGGGAAATCAAGGTAGGTTAAAAGTCAGCAAAACTGCACATCCTTTAAGACTAAGACTCAAATATTCAACATAATTTCTACTCAAATTTAAACAAGTTGTTTAATTATTCTAACACTGTCATTTTTAAGCATTTCAACACAAGATTAAAGTCTGAATATTAAGCAAACAATGCAAATATATTAATCTAAACAAAAATAATTTGCTTCAAAGTAACTGCTTACAGATTATAAAATAGTCGTACGTATTTTAAGATTCACAAATTAATTTAACTCATTAAATTCTTACATAACCTAAAACACAAGAACGAAATAATAAAATGTTCCATGCGTCATCAGTACTTGATGTTCTGCAGTCAGTTCTGCTTGGCAGTCAGTCCCACTCTGGGATGTGATGTCCCCTCTCTCTGCGTGAGTGTGGCTCCCCCGCTTGTGGTGCCGTGGCCCGGAGGGGGTGACTGAGGCTTGAGAGAGCTCTTTAAGCGGTGTTTCGGGTGCGCTGCCGCCGTGTCACATGCCTTCTCCATGAGGAAAAATAACAAACGGACAGTCCTGCGCGTGGCCCACGCAGGACGCTGTGGGGCGTGCACTTTGTAGTGGATGTTGAGCCTGCGAAAGGATTTCTCTAGCTTCACGCGATAGCGCTCCTCTCGTATGTGCCATGTGCAGCCTAGTGGTGGTCTTCGGTGTACGCAGATGCCAAGAAGCATTAGGAGGAATGCCATCAGTGAGGTTTTTATTTTAAAAACCTGAAAGCTTCATGGAAGACAAGATGTGATGAAATGCTGTGCAGCACCAGTGCACATTGTGCCAGCTTAGTATGCAAGTAGTGCACATATGCAGGCGGATCTTAAGTCTCTTGGAGTCTCAGTGCGGGCTGTGAAGAATGTATCCTGTTGAAGTGCAGATGTTCTCGTGGTTCCTCCACAGCCCGGGCGTGGTTGTTTAAAACGTGAACGTTACGACAGCGATAGCGCGTCTCCTCCATCTTCTGTGGTGCTGTGTTTCAGGGCGCCTTACACCCACCCGTGCAGCCGTGCGCCCCCATGTTTTTTTTTTTTCTGCCAGTGTTTACGGCACGCGGGGTGGTGCTGCCGCCCCCATTCAAGAGCATGAGAGACTGTGCGTCTGCCCTTCTCGCTATCTTCAGGTAAGTGCAGGTGTAGGCTGTGAGGGGGGGCCAGAGAGGTGTAGGGCCGGGCTCCAGGTGCAGATCTGTAAACCCCCTTCCCCTTCTGCTTGAAGGTGCGAACCTGTGACTCAGCAAGTGCCAGCTATTGAAGTGAGGACTAAAGATTAAAAGGTGGAAGCAATGCATCCCACTCAAGTGGTTCCTCCATGTACATCTGGTGTGAAAACCTCAGTGGATCTGTGATTTGGAAAGAACTTAAAAGGCAAGCCATAAAAGCAGCAGTTAGATGTAAATGTTTGTTTTAACTCCCAGAAGATCACCCCACAGTATACAGCTAATTAGCAACTAAGGTTGATTGTGCTACTGCTGGACTAAATAACATTTACCAAAACATTCAAACCTTTGTGTCGAACCATTTAAAAATGTTATACATATCAATTTTGGTATGCAGAGTGATTGCTGGGAGCCCAAGTCATGATGAATAGCATTTTAATGAAAATGTGTTTTGATGTAGTTATGACATTGCTAAGTCTCACCTTGCCTTCCCAGGTTTGCATTGGTGTAGTCCCAGGTCTCGCTGTCATTCTTGAACACATTAAGGCGTGTCGGCTGTTGAAAAAAACATAAAAATGACATTCACATAGTGGGTACAGCATGCCACTGCTCCATGCAGTGTTGTGTCAAGTTACAAAAAAATATTCAACAAAAAGAAACACGTGTTAATGTGAATTCCAAACCTTTGCATATTCGATCTTCAAAGTACAGCAGCCTGAGTAGATGTCAGCACCATTAAGAGAGGCCTTTGCCCTCTGTGCACTCTGCACCGAGTCAAACGTGGGATATGTTAAGGACAACTTTTCATACGCGCACTGGACATTTCCACTCCCACACCCATTGACAAAGGTACAAACCGCACAGCCAAGCACTCGTGAGCGCAAAAAAAAGGATATTCAACCATGGCCTGCAGCCCATTCTTGCGGAAGATGACTATACGTTGCACAGGGCCACACGGATTGCAAATGGTGTACAACACATCCTGGAACAAAAATAACAAGCAGTTATTGTGCGAGTGTGTGCAAGAATCACATTGACGTTTGCCATCACAAAAGTGTGAACCAGCCACCTTTGATATGGAACGAGAGGCAAACTTGGAGCTTTAAAAGAAAATGAGATAAAAAATGTCCTCCATACAAACTTGGTGAAAATATAGCAAAAATGGTGTTTAAATGGTTATCGGAAATTAAAATATCTTCTTTAAAACTAAAAATTCTGAGTTGAGTTGGGCATTACTCAACACCTATAATTATATAAAGCCCAAGAATTCAACCAAGAATTTAAACATTATGTATGGTCAACCCTCAATTTTTTTTATGCATCGACCTAAGATAACAAAATACTGCAATACAAGAAATGTGCCAACTTTGTCAGTTGTTCTATAGATGGGTAAAAAATAACAGTACAATGTCTGCATACATTTTTCATTTTTACAATGATTAAATATGTTGCTACCGGCTGTTCACACAAACCCCCAGACAACATCCCAACCTATCCAACAGGAGTATAAAAGCATAATAAAAAATTGGACGTTTAGTTAACTGCAACTTGTTGCAGTTACATCACTGCCATGCATTTTAAAACACCGTAACAGTGAGGAAACTAAGACGACCAACCTAAAAAGAACTTTCCATGCTTTCTTCTGTGCAACAAAGCTTCAAACCTATTTCAAAATAGCCCAAAAATTTTTGTGGCTTCAAAAAAATGTTTTACGTCTTGACTTAAAGCTTTCGTGACTGCAGGAATTAATATTCTTTGGGTCTTCCGGTAAAGTGTTTTTTTTCTTTTTACAGCCTGATCTACGTGACTTTACCGAAAGACAATGAATATTTTTTTTACTGTTGCACCTTGCCTTAATGAGCAGTTTTGGTCACCACGGACACCTAAAAATCACTCACACAAGACATCGCATGTTCAGTGTACCCACGGGGAATGTGTTGCAACCTGCCTTGCAAACTTACAGTGGTGATGGGGTAAGCCGGGTTAATGATGGTGAATAGCAAGATGTGGTTGGCAGAGGATGCTCTATCTTCGCCACCGCCTGGGCGGGAAATCTTCTGGCTCGTGGAGTAGTTGAAGTAGGCCGGCTGGCCGCTCACATAGATGGGGTTGCCCACGGTGAACGTGACGCAGCTGCGAGCACTCTCCAGGTCCTCAAACTCTACCAGGGCCTGCCTCTTCTTGGGCATGATCACCACGTACCTGTGGCCACAGAGGATGTGACACCAGAGTTGTATAATAAGAAACACGTCAAAGTCACACTAAATTACATAGTGCACTGAATGGGCCTCCCCATCGTATAAATGGAGTGTTTTTTGGCCTTTGACACAAAAAACCCAGCGACGCTTGTTGAATGGGCCACACCCTGTGAATGTGACCCAAAGTAGTCAAACCAGTAAAACTTTTACCTGCAACAACAAACGCTGCTGTAAAAACAGTGTTCAAATAGGCCCTTTTTTGGCACAGAAAGAGGCCCTTTCGTGTTAAGTATAATTAGAAAGTCATGCCGACCTGCTCAAATAAGCGATGGGAGTGGTTGATGCTCGTACTTGATTGAGCCAGCGGTGGAAATTCCATATTTATATGTCGGCAGCCAGTGTCCATAGAACACCCACGACTAACCCCAGAGGATCAATAGCCAGTGGTGCCCTGCCAGGGATTTAAACTTGCAATCTTCCAATTGTGCGTCAAGACTCTTGCCACAATGTCACCCAGCTTAAAACACACACACCCACATTCTTTAAGAAGAAACAAAACCCACAAGTTAATACCAGGCCTGGTGTGCAACACAAAGTTCTAATTAACAACTAGAAAATGGAAAGTGTGACATCACAGACGTACCCGATGGGCCCAAAGTGCTGAAGAGCCTCGACAAGGTCGGTCTCTACGGCATGCTCCGCCAGGCCACGAACGTGCACCACGGGGGAGGGGGATGGCTTCAACGGGTCTTCGTAGCTCTCCTGCACGCGCACACACGAGCACCAAGGATTAAACGCGGATGAGCAGCTGCTCTAATACATACACACACAGCTTTCGAGAAACCTAGTTGCTCGTTTAATAGCCACAGGCAGCAAAAGCATGCCGGAATATTTTCGCTTTGTTTGACTTGCGTATTTATATTAACAAAATGATGTACCTCTATACTTTTGATTGAAAGCTTTCGTGACTGCAGTAATTCATATTCTTAGCTCTTTCGGTAAAGTCACGTTGAAGGGAAACAATAAAATAATAATAATATAATATATAACGTGACTTTACCGAAAGAGCTAAGAATACCTCTATACTATTAATTTATTCAGGTTAAATATCTAATGCACAGTAGAGCAATGTACAAGTAATGAAATAAATGTTAACTATTCTGGCCAAGATTAGAGGTTTTGAAATTTTCCCCTTTAAACAATACTCTTGCTTTTTTATTTGTGCGGGCACTTTGGACATGTAGTGTTAACACATTTTCCAAATTCACGGCACACGCCATATGTAAATATTCGGTGTACGTTTTTAGTGTTATTCCTTAATGATACACGTGTTACCTTAACCGCGTCTTGCACGTTCAAACAGTTCTACCAATGCGATCTAATCTTAACCAGCCTTGCATAAACACACATTGTTTAAACAGGACGGTATACGCGTTTGTCCCAAAACAGGAATAAATAAAAATAAAACCTGTTCGGCACCAGATTCCAAGTACCGATTACATTCAAGAATAACTCTTTGCATCGTTTTTACACTCACGTGAACTACTGTACATTTAACCTTACAAAGTATCATTACTGCACCTCACAGCAGCTGCTTTCTGTAAACCCGTAAAAGTGAAGATACCCGATCCGGTGAAGGTACACACTCACTCGGCAGTTATGTACAAGCGTGCGCCGTACGCCGAACTTACTGCGGGTTTTTTTTTATAGGAATCCTCAAAGACTAGCGGCCAAAGATATCTCTAATCCTCGCCGAGCCGCACCCCAACAACGACCGGGCCCCCGTGATCAGAAGGAGCAAACTTTTTTGTTACGCTCTGGGTAAGTAAAAAGTCTCACAATTGTGGGATGGGGGGGGGGGGGAACTTTACCAGCGACGGACATTCATAGTGGAACTCAGATTCGTTAACTTTTGTTCACATTAAAAGTACTTAATCACATTCAGCCATTCAACGCATATCGTTCAATCTACCCAAATGTGTGCTTTATGGAATTACTTAATTTACTACTCTTTGGTTCTTTTGGTAAAGTCGCGTAGGTAGAAAAAAAAGAAAAAAATAAACTTAATTACTGCCTTTCCACCAAGGATAAACTCGATCGGAATTGTCATATTTAATTCACACGAGTCCAGTGAAATCTGAAGGATTTCTCTCATAGCCCAACTATGTAGATGGAGTGTTCACAGTATGCTCCCCATTAGCTGTGCAGTTTGTTCCTTTTCACTCATTCAGTGCGTCTTAAAACAGATTTGTAAATATACAGAGCATGTTTTCACCATTAGTATGAAGAGGTTGCTTTCGACAGATGTTGAGCCCTGAACCTATTTTCCAATTAAATTACATAATTTAAAGTTCCGAGATTGATCGCGGCGAACAGGCGCTAGAATCGTTGATTGCTGAAAAAGACATTATATTAGAGCTAATATATTACATTAGAGCAAAGTTAGGGCGAACCTGCGATTCCTTGCGATGTTTGCAGTCCTACCACAATTCTCTATAACCCGAACGTAAAATTCCGCAGTCTGCCATCGCATGAGTATTAATAACCACGGTCCACGGCGCGATACACTACATGGCCCATCACTGTAGTCCGAAGAAGATAGTGTTTGCACGATCCGATGCCAATGTACGATTAAAAAAAGGTTAAGTTGTTTTACAATCGTACATTCTCCGCTGCTGCATAAACACGTGTTACGGAGCGCGGCCTTGCCCGATTCAAGTCCTTCACCACACCAGAGGCTTAACCACACACAAAAAAAAACTCGCTCATTTACCGTCCCACGTCCACAAGTATGATAAAAAAATGGCAATTACACGCAGATATATCAACAGTTACACGATGGCAAAGGCACGCGCGTATAATCTTCCCTCGTAAACCGTCCCGCCAAACAATGCAGGCCTGACCCTAAGAGAAGCCTGAGGTAGGCCGCGACGTGACGAACCGCGGAAAATGAAACAATTAAAAACATTTTTTATATATATAAAAAAAATAAGCACCCGTCCGTTGTGGCCGTCGTCGGTGCGTTGGCGCTTGGCCTGGTGGCCCTCGTAGTAGCGCGGAAGAAGACATTTGTCCTGAAAATCGACACTTGGGCGATCGCAACAATACCCGGTGGTGAAGACGGAGAAATGGCGGACACACCACGTGACCCAGCGAGGTATCTTCGAATACAATTTGCATACGCGTCCCCGCACATCTCAAATCGGCGACTGCGATTGGCCAATCCGCCTTCTAATTAGCATAACTTTACATAAGACGCGGGGAATTCGTAAACGCGAAAAACATCATTGCTGGCGATTGCTGCCGATGAGTCCTCATAAGGACGCATACTCGTCAACTCCTGATGAGTGCCCTCACTTATTACAGACCAATTCAGACCTTACTGGTCACCCCGTGCCCTTGCGAATATCAACGTTCATCCTACAAAGTCTCCCCTGTACAATAACAATACGGGGTAAATCGTATGGGTCGACAGGTATGAGGACACAACCGGCGTGTACTGCCGTTGTTCCTGCGTCTCGCCGCTTGCATGTTGACACCGGGGCCGTCGTTGGTCCAACGGTTCAGACCACATGCCAACATTGCCCAAGGTTGCATGTTTTACTGGGTGGCACGCCCAGGTTGGCGCATGGCAAATACGCTGAGGAGCGACGTGTCGCTGCCTGGCTAGCCGCGACGAGAGGGCCCTCATAAGAGGAGGGCTCATATAGTTTTGCTATTCCTCCTCCGTTGAAGTAACCGCAGATCCCAGTGGTTCAACGTATGGTCTAGGATTTGGTGTCACATGTTATTTATGTAGTTTATTGTAAAAAAAAAAATCGGTCACAGTCCCTGTGATCACTGTCACGTTGCAATTATGGCTTTAGTTTTGGTGATTTGGAAACGTTTTTTTTGGTTTGGACATGTTTGTTTTGTTGTAGTACGGAGTTAGACTGATGGCCTTAATCTAAGTTGTCTTGTGGTTGTTGTTGTTGTTTGACTTGCATCCCACTGGGATTTTTTTGCACACAGCGTTGGTGTACGGTGCTTTTTACAGGCATATTTTGCTGGGTTTTTTTCATGGATTTTCTGTTTGCACAGTCACACATAGTCACTTTAAGATGTTTTTCTTGTTTGTGTTTTTTTGTTTGCTGTGGTTGCACCCGATTCAAGAGCCGAATGTCTCACAGGGCTATACCAAAATAAATAAACTGAAACTGGGTAGCGTGGCCACAATCACACTCCTGCGGCTCGTCTTTAGTTATCCATTCGTGATGGAGATGTGAGCATCCGCCTGTTGAGGTTGTATGTAACGTTCTGACTACGTGCCACCCTGCTGGACATCTGTAAAGAAGAGCGTTGTAGCTCATCGGATTCCTCTAGTATGAATGCATGTTCTGATGTATGGTGAACTTTTTTCGCCACCGTACGTAGCCAAGCGTGCTAATCGGAGGTTGACGGTCACACCAGTGTCTTCGAGACGTCAGTCTCATCAACAATGATCAATCCACTTTTGGATGCAGCAAATCCCCCGACACTCGAACTGATACGACCGTTGAAGATGTCACGGCGGATACTTTAAGCACAGTCAGATGAAGCAGCCGCACTCAATTTCCAAGTTCACCACCTGATGAAGCTCAAAGCGATTTGAAAAGCCTTAAGCCACCGGCGAGAGGAGCTGTATCGATCAGAATTTGATCGATACCATGGCACGTATAAATAACGTCGTTATACAATCTTGTCGGGTGGTGGAGGGTGAGTTAAAAAAAACAATTGGCAAGCTACCACGTGGCCTATCCAAAGCCAAATATGGATCATAGTACTGTAGCGCAATGCGGCTTGAAAGTCCAATGGTAAGTGGAATTACATGTTGATGATAATCGTGCAAATAAATAAATCAACAAAACCGCTATAAATAGCAAATGTAACGTTTAGCTTCCTGAAATAGCACTTATACATAACTGTTCCGGTGAAAAGGGTTGACATTTGATATTTAAAACACACCAGCACATCATTTTCGCTTTAGAAAAAAACACCCTATGTGGCGTATGCCAAGGTAAAAATAAAAAAACGCAACATCAGTAGCACACAAGCTGAGAGACATGAGGCATGCACCTGAAGAAATTCGCCGAGCGAAATGTCATCCGAAAACCATCGGGCATTTTAAAACACAGTAAATCCTTGAACCTTGTTCAGGGTGCATGCAAGGATGTGAAATTATGTTGTGTTTTTATGTTTCGATGTAGAATTGTGCCATCGTGTCACGTTGATTTACAGATATAATTAAGGCCTATTTATATTCAGATGCATTTGCAAATGTCACCTTATAGCTGGCTAAACGCCCTCCTTGTGAAGATATACAGCTGTAAAGTGTTGCATTGCATTTTTTTGCTTGGTTGTAAATTCTCTGGGAACGTACTATGAAATCTGACACAAGACACAGCTTACGTGATCTACTGTGGTTTTTAAACATATACTGTATGGCAGTGAGGGACAGATGGTTAATTTTGTTGCTGCGCACAATGGATGATTTCAATGCAGTGCAGTAATTAATAATTGCATGAACTAGTGAATTACTCGTGCTTTTCGGGAAAGCCATGTGCGTTTCGTATTATTTGGGAGTAAAGTGAGAGGACATAAAGGAAAAGTCTGCTTGTGTATGTTGACTGGCAGTTATTTTTGCATATGGCCGCAATATGTTCAGGAGCTAACTGCTAATGTGGAGGTCTTCCTTGCAGTTTTTTTTAATGATTCCACAAGAGGGATGGTGCTGAATTCAATAACAAAAAATACCCACCAGAAACACATTGCTCGAATTTCCTGTGCCATCATTGATCGTGGGGCTGTGGCGCATCCATAACAGGCACATAGATCGTGACAGGGCTGCTTTACGAGGCAGAACAGATGTTGGAGTCATAAACTGCTGTGCATTTCATCAACATAATTACGTTAGGAACGGTGCCAGCCTTCGAGCGCAGATGGCGAAGTGTTCAAAATCTACCTTTCAAATTATTCACTCACAGGTGCAATTCGCACCCCCAGTTTCTTATGGCATCCGTTTTCAAACAGCCTCCGTCTGGCATCTTCACACTCGAAATCTATAGGAAATGTCTGTCCATTGTATGAGCATCATCAGCAGCAGCCATGATCAATACACTGCTGGATGAAATCCTTCCCAAGTTGTCACCATCTCTCATGATCCTGCGATGTAATAATGGATTTGTACCCATGTTGAACTTCTTTCGCACCGTACGTAGCCAACCGTGGTAATCGGAGGTGTGATTTCATTGCTCCATCTCCTGGGTAGACGGAAACTCTCCGACACATTCAGTTCTTTGGCTGGCACGGACATTAATTTTCTCCACCACCGGCCATCGCCCCTAGCATGAACAACGCCTCTGTAAACCATTCAACAATTTACAGCAATTTTACGTGAAGTTATTTGAAATTGCTGTCACCACTACCAACGTTTAAACCGATGTAAAAAAAATTAATTGGACAAAAGTAAGTTCATGAAAAATAATACTAAAACGTTTCCAGCCTAATAAGAAGCATTTAGATAAAATATGGAAAGTGATGTTCAAATACAGCACAGGCTGAAAATTCGATACCAACATTTTGATTCAAATCGCGGCTTCGTTGATGTTAACTGTGACTAACCCAACCGCTAATAGGCATTGCATATTCTCAGATTAACACAATCCTGTTGTAATGTATACGATTATACATTAATGCCCCTCTGATATTCGCGCCTGATAGGCTCACATCACCGTGGTCTCTTTGAGACCAAAAACGGGAAGACTTCTTCACAATCCTGGCAGATCGCCTGATGAAGCTGGTTGTTGTAATCACCAGCGAAACGTCGTACTCAAATTGCAAACGTTGTGGGTTTATTCTCCAACGCACGAGTGTGCTGAATTATGATCTATATGAAACGTTTTGTTGAAATTATAAACCTGACTAATTGGCTGTGTCGGGTGGTGGTGGGTTAACGACACATTCATATTGACACGATCTCACCCCAAACGCCTTTATTATGAGCAATACATTACTGTATAACCAAATCTTCCTCCGAGTGGCTCCTACCCGCTCTCAATAATGCATTGTGCATCTATACTTATCAGTTGTATGGAAACTAAACCATACCCCTAGTGGCTCCTATCCGCAATAGGGAATGAATTGTAAATCCATACTTATCAGTCGTATGCAAACCAAACAATGCCCATCGTGGTTCCTATCTGCATTAGGGAATGTATTGAATATCAATACTTGTCAGTTGTATGGAAACTAAACCGTACCCCCAAGTGGCTCCTATCCGCACTAGGGAATTAATTGTACATTCACACTTACCCGCTGTATGAAAACTAAACTACACCTAGTCGCGCCTATCTGCACTAGAAAATGTAATGTACATCCATACTTATAAGTTGTATGAAAACTAAACAGTGCCCCCTAGCGGCTCCTATCCGCACTAGATAATTTAATGCACGCATACTTATCAGTTCTATGGAAAACCAAACGGTGCCCCCCCCTCCCCTACCCGCACTAGGGAATGTAAACTCGGCTCTGGGCTGGGAGGGCTCAGCATGGCGGTCTCCTGGCGGCTGGGCTCGTGTCTGCTGAGGGCGACCTCTCTGCGGGGTGAGTCGAAGTCGTCTTGTTTCACCGCTCACCCGCGCTCTCTTCCCTCCGGGTCTCTCGTCTCCGCTCGCGGCGGAGGGAGACGGGGAGAAGACGGCGCGGCCCTCGTCAGTGGCAGCTGCTGCAGCCACCGAAGAAGGCCTCTCCCCTCCTGCACGCCTTCGTTTGACCCCTTCGCGTGCTGAATGATTTTAATTTAAATGAGACGCGTTTGGAATTTTTTTTTGGTTATCAATTCGTAGATGCGACGGCTAGTTACGGAGAGTTGCTGTTTCTCCGGCTTGCGATGAAATGTTTCATAAATTCTCTCGCACACTAGGTGTGAAAGGTACCAGCAACCTTCATCCAGCAGTGGATTGATCACGGCTCTTGATGACTAAAGATAGGCGTGTGGCCGGGTGCTGCGGTGAACGCGTGCGTCGAGTGCCAGTCAAACGAGCTCCGCTTGTCCTGAGCCACTGGTGGAAATTCCACGTTCCCATGGCGGGAGACTGTTTGACCCCCTTTTGACAATCGCAGTTGACAACCCACCCAGCGAGCCGACTCGCAGTTGGTGGAGCTGCACTGGGACCCGTGGGCCATAGGGGGCCATAGGCTCTGGGTGCGAAGTCAAACAGGGGGCCCCCATTTCATTCCTTGCATCAAGGGCCTATGCCAACCACGCGCTTACATCGCTATGGTAGCTCAGGGTTTTTTTTTTTAATATATATAAATGAACATTTGAATTGTCGTTCATTAATATTGATTGGCATTTCATTGTTTCGTTCACAGAGGGCGTCTGTGCGGCTCAGCGATGCCCCAGGTCGCTCTTCTCCACCGTGACCCTGGGGGCCCTGTCCCCTCGGGGTGCAGCGGTCGCCCCCATCGTTAGCCAGCCACGGCGTCACGGCAGCTTTTTCAACAAACGTGAGCGAGAGTTCCAGCAGCAGCAGCAGCAGGAGGGGACGACTTATGCAGTTGTGGTCAACCGGGGGAGGGTGGGGGGCCGAGAGGACTGAACATCATCGTTGGGCTGTAATTGCAGTGCTTTCCTAAATGAACCTTATGTTTATGCGAGAGCCGGGGCTCTCGCATAAACATCGTATTATAATGTAAACAAAAACTTTGCTCTTTTTCACCAATGGGTTTGAAGGATGGTGGCAAGCGTTGTCTTGTTAACTACGCCTGTAAAACTGAAAACTACTTACCTGCAGTACCTCTATTTAAATACACTCGCAAAAAATATTTACATCCCTCTGTCAATCATCGTGTTTCTCAGTGTGGATTTGTGAACACATTTTGTAAACAGTACATAAAATATTCTTAGTTTTTTCGGTAAAGTCACGTTGAAGAGAAACAACAAAATAACAAAATATATATAAAACAATAAAAAATTCTCACGACGTTTCGACCATAACTCAAACGGTCATCATCAGGTGTGTCGGTTTGCATAAATTTATTTTGAAAACGGCATATTTATTTATATATATAAAATAACGTTTGCGTCACGCGCAACGATGGCAGTTTGCCAGGACTAGTCCATCTATTTTTTGAAAAGAGGAGGGGGGAGACGAAATTTGTTTTTATGTATGCTGTCTGAAAGGCACTGTAAGCGTGAACAATCAATCAAGAACTGAAATGATTTATCAAATCTTTCCAATGATTGCTAAGATAGAATCCATCTTCTCGGTTGAAATTGTCTCTGTGTTTGTATATGTGGATAGCCTCATGAACGAATCTCTCATGGAAGCCAGATGGCTTACAAAGAACCTCTGTCTTGGAAAAGTCAATGGCATGTGAGCCTACTGAATTAGAACAATGATCTGCTACGGCCGAGGTGTTGGTCCTACCGTGTTTAAGGTCTGCTTTATGTTCACGAATGCGGTCCGAGATACATAAAGCAGACCTTAAACACGGTAGGACCAACACCTCGGCCGTAGCAGATCATTGTTCTAATTCAGTAGGCTCACATGCCATTGACTTTTCCAAGACAGAGGTTCTTTGTAAGCCATCTGGCTTCCATGAGAGATTCGTTCATGAGGCTATCCACATATACAAACACAGAGACAATTTCAACCGAGAAGATGGATTCTATCTTAGCAATCATTGGAAAGATTTGATAAATCATTTCAGTTCTTGATTGATTGTTCACGCTTACAGTGCCTTTCAGACAGCATACATAAAAACAAATTTCGTCTCCCCCCTCCTCTTTTCAAAAAATAGATGGACTAGTCCTGGCAAACTGCCAATCGTTGCGCGTGACGCAAACGTTATTTTTATATATATAAATAAATATGCCGTTTTCAAAATAAATTTATGCAAACCGACACACCTGATGATGACCGTTTGAGTTATGGTCGAAACGTCGTGAGAATTTTTTATTGTTTTATATATATTTTGTTATTTTGTTGTTTCTCTTCAACGTGACTTTACCGAAAAAACTAAGAATATGAATTACTGCAGTCACGAAAGCTTTAAATCAAAAGTACATAAAATAGTAAGCATTTTCAATGCTCTGTTCATATAACAAGCGTTTATACCAATCTACAGAGTAGTGGGTCGCCGCTCTTATCCGCATTGATACGAGCGGTATGTGGGGGGACTATGGCTTAACCCCAAAAAAAACTAAATGCACAGATGAATACGGACAAGAGAAGTATTATATTCTTAGCTCTTTCGGTAAAGTCACGTGACTTTACCGAAATAGCTAAGAATATGAATTACTGCAGTCACGAAAGCTTTAAATCAAAATTTAAGAGAAATATTATGAAACAGGAGGAATTCACGATGCAATGCATCTCATCTGTTAAAAATCTGCAGGAAAAAGGATTGTCATCGATTGATCCTGGCTGCAGACATTGGTGGGTCACAAATAATAATGAAGATAAGAGAGCAGTTTCACTGTATTATGCATACCGTTATGACGAATAAAGGACTTAAGTCGTGTAGGCAGTTTGAGCAGCTTCGGATAAGACTTATGATCCTGCCCATACCCGAGCATGTAGTGCATTCGCTTGTTCAGCTCTTCTGCGCATTCGTCCTCGCTATACTCGGACGACATTTCAACAGAATGATCCGTGCCAGGTGGGTCGCAGCGTTTATGTGCGCGGTGAGACGGAGTCGCCAAAATTGATTAATTACGATTTTGACTTCCGTTTATTCGGGACCCCCAGGGTCCCGCCATAAGGTTTAATTTGTCATTGGAGAAAACTTATTGTCAAAGTAAATACGTGTGTTGGGGTTTTCTGATTGCAGGCTACCAGGTTTCAAATGAAAAGGAACTGGGCTTTCGGGTTGCAGGAGACTAGGAGCCAGATTACGGAAAAAAATATCTTATGATTTGTCATAAGTGTGGCAGTTTACAATTGTATCGTACGATCCAAAATTGAATAAGAGAAGATGGATCTTAAGTCACAGTACATATGGGTGTCAGGGTTTCCAATTACAGGAGACCATTTTTCCAATTGTAGGTGACTAGGCTTCTTGTTACCTGAATGGCTTTCTGGCCGTGAATAAACCGGGTATCCCTCTACGCGAGATTGGGTTTCTAGATGCAGATCACCAACCTTTCTGACGTGTTTTCGACCTTTCTGACGTGTTTTCGAGTTGTACCGCGTGTTATCCAGCACATTGCCCGACATCGTGCCCAACTACACGCCCTATAACACGAACACACGTACAACTAGGCAGCACCACCGCAAAACAACCTACGTATTTGCAGGTTACTAAGTTTGCAAGAGACCGGGTTTCTGACTGCGGGGAGACCAGGTTTCCGATTGCAAGACACTTTGCGTTGCCGCCGCTGTGGTTTCACGCTCTTGTCCGCCGGGGTGCAGTGACAGCTGACGAGCTGTGGAAAGGCGTCGTGGCCAATTCGGGGTCGGCGATGCGCAAGGGTCGAGGAAAGAGGGCCAAGCGCAAGTTCAAGAAGAACCTCAACTTTGGACAGACCATCGGGGAAGGTATGCAATGACTCGCTCGTGCACCAGTGTGTCGTGCTTACGTGTGCGATGGGAGCATTGCCACGGCGTTCATTGTTGGGCGCCGCGCTTGCGAGATGTTAACCACCTCGCCTGGTATGTAGAAGTTCGTGGGTTCATTCTTAACCCCGACTATTGTATATTTGTGGAGTTTGCGTGGATTTTTCTCTGGGTCCAATTTTTCCCTCCCAATTTAGAATCAACATGCGTTTGGAGTATTTGGTTGCTATAAATGTCCAGGTGATAAGCCACTTAATTGAGCTATTATTCATGGCCATGTCACTACGGCCAATCCACTGTTGGATGAAGGCCTCTGCAAACCGCCACCATCTCAAATGACCCACGTGACAGACGTGGTGTGAGGAGGACTTCATTCAGCAGTGGATTGAGAAATGGCACTAAATTATTCATCATGTCATTTAAGCTCTTGAGCCAGCTGGCCAGGATTGGGAAAAACCGAGCCCACTTTTTACCCAGGCAACTGGAGAGCACAGACTTAAGTGTTACTAACCTAACCATTAAAACTAAGATTAACATTTAAGAATCACAGTGAAGAGACATGTATACATTATCATCATCAGCCACTGCTGGATGAAAACCTCCCCTCGCCATCGCCATATTTCATGATCCTGCAATGCGATATTCCACCTATCACCTGATTTCATCACTTCATCTCTTTAGCAGACGTTCCACAGGATTACAATTGTTAGAAGGGATGGTCGGAGACCATTGTTCATGTGCTACTTTGTTTTCATTATTTTGTTGTCCTTTCCCCAATTTTATTCCAATTGTGCTATTGTCAGCATGCCATACGATTAAGTATCCCTGAGGAACTATTGCAGTAAGCACTGCATCATCCTGTTAAACAGTTGTCTGATAAATGAGATCACAGCTACTTCTGAGATCCGTTCAAGTGACTTTTTTTAATCCAAACACGAGGGGGCGCTGCACTTTTCCACATTTCTTTAAAATATTTCATCTGGGAAATCGCTTGGTGTGTAACATCTTCCGTGCAAGGATGTCTGGGGTGTCAATTGACACGCACACATAGCGCACGCCCTGCGATTCGGGTAATGTTTGTCACTCACATTGCAGTAAATGTATGCATACTTAAATTTTCAGAGCCGGCGTTTCGTTGATCGAATTGCAAAACTTTTTTTTGTTTCTCCTCGACGAGCTGTCACCTGGTTGCAAGTAAACTATGACGGGTGAATGGAACGAGTGCCGGACGATTGAAAGAACGAGCGAATTGATCGCAGGTAAGGGCGGCTTCTTGTGGCCGGGCCTGAACATGCCGATCCGTCTGGAGGACGGCATCCAGAAGCCGAGTCGGCGCAGCGAGGCGGAGCAGCTGGAGATGCAGGCCAACATGCTCCTCAAGCGAGACGAGTGGGACAAAAAGAAGCGCTTCCGCGTGAAGACGGAGCGCGGCTGGTCCGGACGCAACTGGGGTGGCATCAGCCTCGGCCCACCCGACCCCAGCCCCAACGGAGGTGGGTGGCGCGTGGTGGTGGTGGTGGGAGGGGGTGCTGTGATGGATGAAACTTCACATCCTTGTGTAGCCGATCAGATCGGTTTTGATAGGGGATTCAAATCGCTTTTTCTTTAACAGAGAATTGTGCTCGGGAAGGGCACCGTTGGCTCGAATTCGAAAGAGTTCTGCATGAGAATGACTGTTAAAAACTCTTCCCTTGTATGAGATCTTAACGTTTCCTTTTATGGTTTGTCTTTTTTATTTTCAGACACTTACGAAGACTTTGATTCCAGGGTTATCGAGGTAAGCTCTTTGTATAACGCTGCACCCTGCAGTCCATCGTCTGGTACTCCAATCCCCTAGCTGTCGACTCCCTGCCTCTCTTCAAGCTCAATACTTTTATTTCCTTTGCCTGTGATGGCCTCTTTCTGCCTATAAAGTAACATGGCCTATTGGTTCCATGCCTTGGGATTCCCACTGTTTGTGTGTGCGCGTGCGTGCATATATCTGCGTGTGCATCTCTGTGTGCTTGCGAAGGTGAGAAATGTGTTTCACATGACGGGCAAGGAAGGGCGCAAGAAGTCGTGCCGGGCTCTCGTGGTCGTTGGTAACAAGAAGGGTGCAGCTGGTACGTTCTGACGGCAACACACAAGATAAAGATCCCACGGATATTCTAGATTTGAAGCTTTCGTGACTGCAAGGATCCATACTCTTTGGTTCTATTCGGTAAAGTCACGTAGGTAAAAAAATAAAACAACAAAAATCACGACGTTTCGGCCACAACGCAAGCGGCCTTCATCAGGTGAAGGGATCAGGGTAAGCACTGGACCGGTTCAGATAGTCGACACCGACGCTGGTCGTAAGCGGGAATCTTGACTCGGGTCGCTGGGTTCTTCGTGCAGGGCGCCAATCACTGTGCCACCGCTGCCCACAAAGATGCCCGCGCATGCCCTGTCATCAAAGAGCAGCGCAACAGCCACAATCGCGCGCTGGGTGTTCGTGCCCAATGGCTCGCCATGGTGGATTGTTACTCGCAGCATTCTGAAATGTTTTCCTCTGCAGGGTTCGCGATCGGAAAAGCTCCAGAAAGGACAGCAGCGCTGAGAAAGGTAAAACGGGGGTGGAATGCTGGGAGAATTAGTGAGTGGATGAGTGAGTTGCTGCATGGGTGATTTGAGCGGGTGGGTGAATGGGTGAGTAAGTGACCGATGGGATACGATTAACACCCCTCCTTCCCTCCCAGCCCGAGTTGTTTTTGACTGGCATGTGCCTATTCTTGGTTCTTTCGGTAAAGTCACGTAGAAGGGAAATAATAAAAATAAAAACATAGAATAAAATTCTCACAACGTTTTGGCCACAACGCAAGCAGCCGTCCTCAGGTGAAGAAACAGAGCTGTCGGAAAGACAGCGTCTTAATGAACACTGCTAAGCTTGGCAGCGTATTTTAAGCTGGGTGGGAGGAGGAGAGAGCCTTGACAAAGGAGTTTGCATATCAACAGAGGGATTTAGCATATTGATGACAAATGCAGATATGGGGTTAGTCACTCCTTGCGGAATGTGTAGGCGGTGGGGGGGGTCTCAAAGTCATTATGCTAGTGCATTATGTAGGTATGTACCTGACAGGTAACGATGCATAGATTCATCAATTCAAATCGGCTCTTATGCTCAGGATGCGTGCGTCAAATCGCTTGAGCGAGAATCGATCGTTTTATGATTTTCAGTTTATTCTAATTTTCGCAAATTGGTATGCTCACGTCACTTGAAGGCTTACTGGGTCGGACAAAACGGTAGAAACGAGTCTAAAACTGACGATGCGGTAAAAACCGAGGCGGATTGAGGGGATCCATTGGTGACCATCGAATTGTCTCAAATCACCGCTTCCCTGGGGAGCAGCAGTATCTTTGCATGCGTTGCGTTACGAGCTCGCTCGCTCGATTCACTGAAGCACTCCTCACCACCGTGTCCCTTGTGCAGGCGAAGAACATGGCGATCCACTACCTCTATTACATCGAGCGCTACAACGACCACACAGGTAAGGCCACGCGCTTCGTTAGTATGCCTGAACGTATGTTAGTGCGTATGATGAACTTCTTTTGCACCGTACGTATCCGGCCGTTCTAATCGGGGGCGCTCGTCAAGAGAACAACGCAACCCCAGCTGCAAGCGGCTGGACAGTGCCACGATTTTGGATGCTACGTTTAAGGCGCTTTAAGCCAGTTTTCTAATTAGTGAAGCGTCCAAAACTATTGTCAGACATCCCAACACACGCACAGCCTCGGGTGTGTATCGAAAATAATTAATAATGCCTTCATTTATCCGGAAACGCCTCTCGCGAGTCCCAAGACTCTTATTTCAATATAGTCCTGCCATTGAGGATGTTTGGCCAATTTTCACCAACTAGTAATTTTTGACACGTGGTAGAAAAACAGGGGTAGCCAGAGAAAACCCGCTCGCACGAGGGGGGTAAAGTTTTTTGCACGGATGGATTCGTGAGTCTGTTGCCCGAATGCCATGTCAGAGCCCCAAGTCTGTAACACCTGGTATTCCCTGGCAAGTCTCCCATCCAAACATAATGACCCGTACAAGATAAGAGCCGTTCGTTTCTTCGGCTGTGTTTTCAACTCCTTTATGTAGCAAGGGGGCACGTAGAAGGTGGTCCAAGTATGAACGGAACTTTAGCGGCGTAAAGCTGCGTCGCTGTTCGGGACTCGACCTGAAGGATACCAGCCACGTTAATCAAAAGCTTTGCCCGTGTCCTCCCTATCCAAAGCTTCCCCACCCCCCCCACCACCACCACCGTGGTTTCACCGCAGCCTAACGCCACCTGTACCGCTTCTTCCTTATTGCGAGGAGCAATAACGCCACACTCCTCGGCGTGATATTTCTCCCTTGTTGTTCACACGTTGCCCACCGCCGCAGCCGGTGCAGGTCGTTGCCTCGTTGTGCAAAGTTGATGGCTGCACGTTGTGGTGGTGGTGGTGGTGTCGTTGTTGTCGTTTTGAGTCGAGCGTTTGACCCGCCGTCGCCGTCCGTCTGTGCTGCAGTTTACGAAAACTTCAACACGACGTACCGGCACACGACCATCACGGTGAAAAAGATGCCGCGTGGTACGACACCGGTTCCTGTGTGCGCGTACATTTGTGTGTGTGTGTGTATTTCTGTGAATGTTAGTGAGGGGCGGTGGAGCAGTGGTTAGGGCGCTGCGCTACGAACCCGGCATAGACACGAGTTCAATTCCCGCTCACGTCCTGGGCCTCGCCTAGGTCGACTCAGCCCCAATTTAGTAGCTGGTGCGGTGCGTAATAAACATCGCCACACGGGAGACAAAGGCGGTCAGGCGTGGTGCTGGCCACCCACGCCCTCATGTGACGTTCCGGCCTTCATAGGTATTGCTCACTAAGAGCACTTGCCCCAGCAGTCTCTTAAGGCTATATGGGGGATCTTTGTCTTTATCTGTGAATGGGAGGTTGTCATAGGCTGCTGCGGGGCCTACGTTACAGGCAGCAGAGGTCAGTGCGACCGAATCCTTTGCCGTATTGTACTTGTATGCTGGTCCAGTACGGCATGGAGGGACAACCCTCATCCAGCAGTGCATCGGCTGCTGTGCGCGCATAACGGGACGGAGTGAGCGGCACGGGTAAACTCAAGGTAGTTGTGGGGGGGTGGCTGTCGACGTTGGCTGTGACGTGCACCCGTTCTCCCGGTCGAGCAGGCCAAGGGCTGCACTGCCACCGCGCCATCATCACCATGTGCCGCCTCATCGGCATCGAGGACATGTACGCCAAGGTCACCGGCTCCGTCAACCTCATCAACATGACCAAGGCCTTCTTCCTGGGCCTCACCACGCAGGTGGGAGCATGGCGCCGTGACGGCGGTGTAGTTGGCGGCGAGGCGGTGTGGGGCGACGATGGCAAGCGGTGCTGGTGGCGGCCGTTGTGGTATCGGAGGTAGTGGTAGCGACCGCGGTGGGTGTGGCAGTGATGGTGGTGATGGTTGTGATAGTTGCGGCGTTGGAGATGGTGGTTGTGAAAATTGGGGATGCTGGTGGTGGAAATTGGGGACGGTGGTGGTGGCGGCTTATCACGTGAAAATTATATGTCAGCCAAATAATCTGAACGCACGTTTCTTAAATGTGGAGGGGAAAAATTGACGGTGACGACACCGACGACACACGCGCGGGTGTGCCCCCTGTGCAGGAGACGCACCAGCAGGCCGCCGACCGCAGCGGCCTGCATGTGGTGGAGCTGCGCGACGAGACGGGGCCGCTGCCCGTGGTGGTGGCGTCGCCCCGCACGCCCATGTCCACCACGCCCCTCGAGGAGGACGCCGTGTCGCTCGTGCCGCCCGACTGGAACGACGTGAAGAGGGCGCATGGGCTCGGCCAGTCCAAGTGGAGCGGCGTGAAGCGCACCGTCGCCTTCTGAGAGTCTCGCGGCCATCGCACTCTGACAGCCACGGTGTCACCTTCAGAGAGCCACGGTGTCACCTTCAGAGTGCCACATTGTCACCTTCAGAGAGCCGCATTGTCACCTTCAGAGAGCCACATTGTCACCTTCAGAGAGCCACATTGTCACCTTCAGAGAGCCACATTGTCACCTTCAGAGAGCCACATTGTCACCTTCAGAGAGCCACATTGTCACCTTCAGAGAGCCACATTGTCACCTTCAGAGAGCCACGGTGTCACCTTCAGAGAGCCACATTGTCACCTTCAGAGAGCCACATTGTCACCTTCAGAGAGCCACATTGTCACCTTCAGAGAGCCACATTGTCACCTTCAGAGAGCCACATTGTCACCTTCAGAGAGCCACATTGTCACCTTCAGAGAGCCACGGTGTCACCTTCAGAGAGCCACATTGTCACCTTCAGAGTGCCACATTGTCAACTTCAGAGAGCCACATTGTCACCTTCAGAGAGCCACGGTGTCACCTTCAGAGTGCCACGGTGTCACCTTCAGAGAGCCACAGTGTCACCTTCAGAGAGCCACATTGTCACCTTCAGAGAGCCACATTGTCACCTTCAGAGAGCCACATTGTCACCTTCAGAGAGCCGCATTGTCACCTTCAGAGAGCCACATTGTCACCTTCAGAGAGCCACGGTGTCACCTTCAGAGAGCCACAGTGTCACCTTCAGAGAGCCACATTGTCACCTTCAGAGAGCCACAGTGTCACCTTCAGAGAGCCACATTGTCACCTTCAGAGAGCCGCATTGTCACCTTCAGAGAGCCACGGTGTCACCTTCAGAGAGCCACATTGTCACCTTCAGAGAGCCACGGTGTCACCTTCAGAGAGCCACGTTGTCACCTTCAGAGAGCCACATTGTCAACTTCAGAGAGCCACGGTGTCACCTTCAGAGAGCCACGGTGTCACCTTCAGAGAGCCACATTGTCACCTTCAGAGAGCCACATTGTCACCTTCAGAGAGCCACGGTGTCACCTTCAGAGAGCCACATTGTCACCTTCAGAGAGCCACGGTGTCACCTTCAGAGAGCCACGGTGTCACCTTCAGAGAGCCTCAGTGTCACCATCCGAGAGCCACATTGTCACCTTCAGAGAGCCACATTGTCACCTTCAGAGAGCCACATTGTCACCTTCAGAGAGCCACATTGTCACCTTCAGAGAGCCACATTGTCACCTTCAGAGAGCCACATTGTCACCTTCAGAGAGCCACGGTGTCACCTTCAGAGAGCCACGGTGTCACCTTCAGAGAGCCACGGTGTCACCTTCAGAGAGCCACATTGTCACCTTCAGAGAGCCACATTGTCACCTTCAGAGAGCCACGGTGTCACCTTCAGAGAGCCACAGTGTCACCTTCAGAGAGCCACATTGTCACCTTCAGAGAGCCACATTGTCAACTTCAGAGAGCCACGGTGTCACCTTCAGAGAGCCACATTGTCACCTTCAGAGAGCCACATTGTCACCTTCAGAGAGCCACAGTGTCACCTTCAGAGAGCCACGGTGTCACCTTCAGAGAGCCACATTGTCACCTTCAGAGAGCCACAGTGTCACCTTCAGAGAGCCACATTGTCACCTTCAGAGAGCCACATTGTCACCTTCAGAGAGCCACATTGTCACCTTCAGAGAGCCACATTGTCACCTTCAGAGAGCCACATTGTCACCTTCAGAGAGCCACGGTGTCACCTTCAGAGAGCCACATTGTCACCTTCAGAGAGCCGCAGTGTCACCATCCGAGAGCCACAGTGCATAAAAAGGGGATACACTCAAAGATCCGCACAGATGGATTCCTGTGGCTTCTTGGCATCACCATCACAAAGGCGCGTACGGAAAACACTGCTGGAAAATGTTGAATTGGCGATCGTCGCAGGATATCCCTCGATCTAACGTCGTCGTTACGCGTCGGATAAAGCAGTCGAGTTACGTGACGACGTGATGATTTGTGCTTAACGCGTGCAGATTTTATATTGAGAAATGTACATTTTGGACACTGCTTATATCGCGCCGCACCAAAATAAAGAATGTGAAACTTAGTGCAAATGTCCAGCGTTTGTACGTTGTACATTGTGTGCAGGGTGTTATTGAATACGTCTCATTACGACATTTTTTTTGTTTCATTGGGGTGAGAATTCAAGAGCGAACAGGGGTTAGCGCTCTAGCAAGAGTTGTTGACCTGGATTCACCAAAACCTTAAAGGGTAATAAATTAAAGTATAATGTATTCTTGGTTCTTTCGGTAAAGTTACGTAGAAGGGAAACAATAAAATAATATAAAACAATAAAAAAAATATTTTATTGTTTCCCTTCTACGTGACTTTACCGAAAGAACCAATAATATGAATCCCTGCAGTCACGAAAGCTTTAAATCAAAATTTAAAGTATAATGGTGAAGCCAATAGAAACTAGAGCAATAAAACAACTGCGTCCGTTCGTGTCTCAATCCGTTTTTCCTGGTGAGGGTCGTGGCAGCATCATGTTGAGTAGTGGCGGTCCAGACCTTCCTTTCCTTGACTCCAGCACTTCTACACTACAGTACTACACCATACACTACTACACAACATTACTATACACTACACACTGCTCTACACTACACTATACACTACTATCCACAGAGTCTAGTTCTTCCTGGGGAATTCCCAGGCCAGCCGAGCGACAGAGTCCCGCCAGCGTGTCCTGAGCCGGCCCAAATGTAAAACACTGCGCAGACATAGCTCAATATTCCAGAAAATATATTTCTTGTCGTGAAAGTTCGCTGGGGCAAATTCCTTTCAAAATCGTTTAAAGCGCGCAGTCGAGTGAAACAGATCTCGGCTGATTCGTCGCAAAGGACGCTCGTTCAGTTCAGCGAGCCTCCTGTCATTACGTGGACCCCGAGGGGGGGGGGGAGGGCTGTGCTCCTTATTGGAATGAACTCCACGTTCTTGCCGAGGGTCATGGTGCCCGCCGACGAACGGCAGCTGGAATCTTAACTCGGCGCGGGCCTCCTCCATCTCACGGCGGGCGGACGCAAACCCTCTCGGCCGCTGTGATCACCGACCGAGCACCCGCGCCTCGGGGGGGACCGTCCGGACCGTACGCGATGCTGACCATACTGCCCATCGCCTCTCCTCCCGTGCCTGCACAAGCCAGCTCGCGCAGCCACAGTCCAATCGACAAATCGCGGGCGGAGGGGGGATTTGGCCTCCTCTGCGTGGCAGAGCAGGGCCAAATACTCCGTGGGGGCGAGGGGGGGCGGTTTCTCTCGAGCTCCTCGCAGTTGAGGTCCGGTCGCCGGCAGTGGCGTGATTGAGCAATTGCAGGGCTGTGCCTTTATCTTTTCACCTTAGCTGGCGGTGGTCGCCGTGGGGTGGCGGCAGCGTCGCGGTTAGCGTTACGCTGCGCCGCGAACCCGGCCACACGAGTTCGATTCCCGCTCTCGCGGGCCAGCACCAGTGACGATTATCTGAACCGGTGCTGGGCCTCCACCCCTAGGTGCCGCTGTGTGAACATCGGCACTGGGGAGACGAAGGCGGTCGGGCGTGGTGCTCGTCACCCGACCCCCTCGAGCATCGTCGTGCCGGCCTCCTTCACTGCTGCTGCTCGCTCACACCACCTGCCCCCCCCCCCCCTTTTATCAGACTTTATTATAAGGCTACAAGAGGGGAGGGGGGCGAGGATTTTTGTCTCTGATGTTCGCTGTGGATGATGTCGGCCGCGAGAGGGCGACACGCGGCCACGCGTAAAAAAACAACTAAAAATGAATTGTAATTGGACTGCGGGGCGGGAGGGGGGATTTAAATAAAAACGCGCGGTTCAAAAGTTTGCAACTTAATTCCTTACGCGCGTTCGTGATGTCCTCCAGCACAAACCTGATTACACATAAGACGAACTTATTCCCTCCCCCCTAACCCCCCCCCTCCAGTATTTGCAATCAAAAGTTGTTGGTGGAGGGGGGGGGGGGTGCGTATTACTTTCCGGAAACGTCTTATTCGCGACAATCGCATCCGACAGAGGGTCGTGGCGCTGTGGTTATGAGTTGCGCCTTGCAACAAGAAGAGCGACTGGAGGTTCGACACTCGACTGGGGCGCCTCACTGCGTGGAGTTTATCTTCTTTGGTTCTTTCGGTAAAGTCAGCACTGTCCTACCAGACAGTCTCGCCCCTTCACCTGATGAAGGCCGCTTGTGTTGTGGCCGAAACGTCGTGAGAATATTATTGTGTTATTTTATTTTATCAATTTATTATTTTATTCTCATTCTACGTGACTTTACCGAAAGAACCAAAGAAGATGAATCATTGCAGTCACGAAAGCTTTAAATCGAAATGCGTGGAGTTTGTAAACTCTCGCCTTGTACGTGGTATTTGTATACTATACGTGGTGTTTGTACACTATACGTGGTGTTTGTACACTATACGTGGTGTTTGTACACTATACGTGGTGTTTGTACACTATACGTGGTGTTTGTACACTATAGCCCTGTACGTGGTGATTGTACACTATACGTGGTGTTTGTACACTATACGTGGTGTTTGTACACTATAGCCCTGTACGTGGTGATTGTACACTATACGTGGTGTTTGTACACTATACGTGGTGTTTGTTCACTATAGCCCTGTACGTGGTGATTGTACACTATACGTGGTGTTTGTACACTATACGTGGTGTTTGTACACTATAGCCCTGTACGTGGTGTTTGTACACTATACGTGGTGTTTGTACACTATACGTGGTGTTTGTACACTATACGTGGTGTTTGTACACTATACGTGGTGTTTGTACACTTTACGTGGTGTTTGTACACTATACGTGGTGTTTGTACACTATACGTGGTGTTTGTTCACTATAGCCCTGTACGTGGTGTTTGTACACTATACGTGGTGTTTGTACACTCTACGTGGTGTTTGTACACTCTACGTGGTGTTTGTACACTCTACGTGGTGTTTGTACACTATATGTGGTGTTTGTACACTATACGTGGTGTTTGTACACCATAGCCCTGTACGTGGTGTTTGTACACTATACGTGGTGTTTGTACACTATACGTGGTGTTTGTACACTATACGTGGTGTTTGTACACTATACGTGGTGTGTGTACACTATACGTGGTGTTTGTACACTATACGTGGTGTTTGTACACTATACGTGGTGTTTGTACACTATACGTGGTGTTTGTACACTATACGTGGTGTTTGTACACTATAGCCCTGTACGTGGTGTGTGTACACTATACGTGGTGTTTGTACACTACACGTGGTGTTTGTACACTCTACGTGGTGTTTGTACACTCTACGTGGTGTTTGTACACTATACGTGGTGTTTGTACACTATACGTGGTGTTTGTACACTATAGCCCTGTACGTGGTGTTTGTACACTCTACGTGGTTTTTGTACACTACACGTGGTGTTTGTACACTATA